GACAGAGGAGATGCAGTTTTATGCTGCAGAGCCGTGAATGGCACCCTGTGTATGTGTGCTTAGAGCCTCTGCGAAGGCACTGCTGGGCATACGTATCAGATGGAAACGCATGTGTGCAGGTGTGCAGAGTGTACTCACGTACAGCAATAAGTATGCATATTCGGGTATATGATGATCTGGGCATGAGGCTTCATTTGCATATTTATGCACATGGGTAAGGAGACCAAGGGCATTTGGCTCTTCTCATGTGTCTCACTTTTACTCCAAGCTTCAAGGGATTCTTTCTTTTGCCACCTTACTCCCAATACACCACTGTTTCCAGCTCCCTGGAAGTGTGTCTTTCCTTCTAAGAGTTATCATGGTCCAGGGCAGAGAGCACAGGACTAAAAGTCCGGAGACTTGGTATGTGGCCCCAGCTCTGCCACAGTCAGCCTGCTCACTTTGAACCAGTCATTTCTGTTCTCTGAGCCTCATTTGCTTCATCTGTGAAATGGGCTGCTAACCAGCCAGGCCAGCACTTCAAATTTAGAGTTTCAAACCCCGGACCCCCTGACCGCACCTCCCCACTGTGCACAGTCCTCCCCTTGCTCATCCCACCTATCATCACACCCTGTGGGAGGTGGGACAGAAGGACTCAGGGCTTCTCAGCTCTGAAGACGGGTCCCCCTTCCTCCTGTATCCGGGCTTCTGGGGCGTGGACTGCTAGCATTTGGAGAGCTCCCGGAACACAGCTTGAAAACCACGGATCTAGGCAGCCTGACATCGCCTTGGTTTCTCAGAGCACCCCCAGAATTCAGGGTCCAGGGTCCATGGATAACTGACAAGGCTCTAGACGGCAGTGGTTCATCTGATGAGGATGCTGCCTCCTGGATAAGAGGGGGGATCAGAGCATCTGACTGGCAGTACCTGCTCTGGAAAGGGGGCTGTCCCAGGGGAGCCCAGGATCTGTCACCTGGAATGTCTCTGCAGCTTGTGGATCTGGGGGAGAGGGGACCATTATGGGGCAATGCACTTACATACCTTCAGGGGGCTCAGTGCTCCAAAGCCTCCCTGATTCTGCCCCTTGTGTTTCTGGGCCTCCCAGGGAGCCTTCCCTAAGGCAGCGGGGCTCCTCGGAGCCTCCCTGGCCATCTGATGCAGGAAGTGACCAGAGGGCCTTCTGAATAAAACTGGCCTCAGAGCTGCACAGGTGAAGCTTGGGGCTCTCACTGGCTTGAGTGAGAAGCGACCGAAGACCAGCACTTTGCTCCTCGTACTCCGCAGTCTGGCCCACGACTCTCCCCAGATGGAACTCAGTAGGTGGGTGCGCGTAAGCAGTTACTCCCCATCATTTTCATGCCCCAGAGCGTGTAGAAAACACCAGCATTTGTACAGCTCCTGGGGCAAATGGAGCAGCTGCCCAAGGCTGCCCAGGGCGCTGCGGAGCGAGACTGTGACTCTCCTCACCAGGCTCGGGCACACGAGCGTGCATGTCGGGATGTTCACGGGCAGAGCGCTTGGCAGAGGGCCGGCCGCAGTGGTTCTGAACTTCAGCTGCACGTTACAGTCCCAGGGGAGCTTTAAAAATACTTCCGCTCAGGCCTCACCACAGACCAATTATCTAATGATCTTGGGTGGGGAGACATTTCTAAAGCTCTCCGGGGACTCTCTACAACCAGCAGGGTTCAGAAGCACTGGCCCAAGGCAAGGCGAGCATTCCGCAAATGTCAGCTCTTTGCAATAAAGACACCTCGGTGTCCCGGAAGGTGCTGTTCTCCTTGCCTGGGCAGGGCGGGCTCGGTGGGGTGGGGTGGGGGCGGGCGCTCCTCACGGGGAACTGCTGTTCAGGAGCGATGAATGCTGGGTAGGGCAGCCTGGCATCTATCTCCCTCAGCCACGTCTCAGAAAATTGAATTAAAACCTATAGTTTAAGCTGCTGCCCGCCTGGCTGGCTGGCCGGCCGGCCGCGGAAGGGGCTGAGGCAGTGCGCACCTCAGAGGAAGGGAAAAGCTGTGGAGGAGACCCCTAGACCCTCTCTAGGGGGGAGAAGGTAATAAAGGGGTCTTATGAGAGAAGACCATTTCTAAGACTGTCCCTTGGCCTCCAGTCTTCCTGAAGCCAGGCAGGCAGGCTGAGAGTGGACAGGCCGGCTTGGAGAAAGGGGGATTCTGGCCCTGTCTTGGGAAACCCCATCTAGGGAACAGAATTGGCCGAAGTGTGTCTTGCTCAAGGACAACCAAAGTTGTTTGGAAGAAGCCTGGAAGGGCAGAACATGGTCAGGACAAGAAATTCCAGCCGGGGCCTCTAGCATGATGGGGGCAGTCCACTAGGTAGGACAGTGTTAAAGACACCAGGACATGGGCTTCAGTCCCCAATCTGATAGGTTACCTGTATGTCCTTGGGAAGTCTTGTGGTCCTGCTGGGCTTAGGCAGTTGATTCACAGAGAAGAGGACCCTAGATCCCAGCTCAAATGTTCATTTCCATGTGTTCCCCAAAGCCGATGCTCCTAGGTGGGGCTCAGATGAGCTCCATCTATAAGGACTGCTAGCTCAGATAGCACTTGGGGAGATGAGAGTGAGGCCCCCTCCAGGACTGATTAGAAAAACTGCCCCTTTTGGGTAGACTGTGTGCCAGGCCTGGTAGGCAATGGGCAGAGCAGGAGCTGGACTTCTAACCCCACTTGCCCCCTGGCCAAGTCCCTTTGTGTCGGCACTGATCGCACAGTGGTATCTGGGGCCCCGCCTGCCCCCTGTATGTGGTCAGCTGGGATCTCATCCTCTGGCTGGGGCCTTGAAGCAAAGGAGAAGAGGTGACGGGAAAGGCTGTGGACAGAGCGTGGCCGGGCTCCTCCCCTGGCCAGCTGCTGCCCAGGCAGAGAGAAAGGTGTGCTCAGCCAGCCTGCTCACTGCACACACCATAGCCCATCCGGGGACGCAGCAGAGAGTGCAAGGGATCCAGAACCCACAGCGGGACCCGGAGAACTCTGAGTATGGAAAAGGGAATAAGCCAGGAGCTGAATGTAACCCTCAGAGCCAAGGGGACCTCATCTGGGGGTCTGACCAGTGCCATTTCCAGGGTAAATGGGCCTGCAGTGGATGACTGATCTTCGCCCTGTCCCAGCATTCCTCACTCCACGTTTCCCTCAGGACTCTGAGGCTCCGGGTAGCCGCTCCTTCCCTCTACTGACATTTCACAGTTTACAGAGCACTTTCACACTCAGCATCTCATTTGATCTTCACAATGCCTGGGTCGTCCAAATGAAGGAAGCAGACGACCAGGGGTTAGGGCAACAAGCCAGGTCCAGAGGGAAGTCCTGTCTGTCTGTTTGTCTGACTCTAGCACAACGCTGCATCCTTTTCTCTCCGGAAGGGTTTTACTCTTTTCCGATACAGAGCACTGATGTTCTCCTCCTCCAGGCAGCTTTCCTGGACTGAAAGGAATGTGAGTCAGGGTGACCAATGGTGAGGTGTACCGATGGGACCAGTGTTCATTACGCAGTAAAAAGGAAACATCGACTTGCTGTGTGGACCTGGGGAACTTCTTGCATCTTTCTGGGGCCTCAGGTACTTGTTCCGGTTTCCACTGCGGACTCCTGAGCTCTCTTCCAGTCTTCTTGTCCTCAGTTGGACCAGAATCCTCAAGGAAAGGCTCCAGTCTCTTATCGCTCCCCTTCTCTGAGGCTTCCTCCATGAGGTGGCCACACCCAGCACTTGGGCTCACAGGGAGGTTGGACAATAACTGATATAAATGGGGAAAGACAGCGTCTGGTTGCAGAGAGATGAGTGGGCTGTGGAGGGAGCTCTGGGGATGCTGACACCTGGGCAGTGACCAGAAAGTGAGCGCAGGGGTGGAAGGCTGGGTGGGCAGAGGGTAAGTACTTTGCCTGGGAGTGCGTTCTCAGAGTTGGCTCCACCACCGCCTGGCTGTATGACCTTGACCTGTTCAGTTCTCCTTATTCAGCCTCAGTTTACCCATCTGTACTAGGAGGAGGTTCAGAAGGATCACAATAACAGCAGCAGTTTGCTCTTCAGTGAATAAGTACAATCAGTGAAAACTACCACGGGGTATGTTAAGACAGGAAGAAGCTGAGGCCCAGAGAGATCAAATCACCTGCCCAGGCTTACAGAGTGAGCCTGGCACTGGGGGCTGGAGCCAGGCAGTCTGACTCTGAGCAGTAAGTATCATTTCAGGTTGCGGCAGGCTCCCCTGTGTGCCCCCAGCCCTTTTGTGAACACAGAAGCCTCCTCCAGATCACATTTGAAGACATCCAGGGGGTCACCCAAAGCCAGCTGGTCCGTTCTGGCCAGGGCGGTGGGGCTCAGACCCAGGGAGGGTCTAGGACTGGCTGGGTAAGGAAGGCTTCCTGGAGTGGGGGGAACAGGCTATGACAGACAGAACTGTGAGGATGTGGGAGGGAGAAAGGACAGGGCTTTCTCGCTGTAGGTATCTTGGGGAGGGTGGAAAGGAGGGCGGTGAGCCCTGGCGAAGGCCCTACTCTGAGCCCCGGAAGCGCGGCGACAACGGGGATCGGTCGCCCCCGCATCCTCGCCCCCTGGGTCCCTGCCGCAGCTCTCCATGGTGCCTGCCTCTCAGCAGGACGAAAGCAGCGGGCGGGGTCCCGCTCCCCCCACCCCCGCCTGACCCCTCCCCCGGGCGCCCATTGGCCTGCACCCCAGCCCTCAGCCTGCGAAGTGCGTGGGGGAGGTGGTGGTCGGTGGCTGCGCTCCCACCCCAGCCTGGCGGAGGCGGCGCCTCTGCTGCAGGGCGACCAGGCCGGCGGGCGCGCGGGGCGGGAGAGGCTGGCGTGGGGCGCCGCGCTCCCGCCGCGGGCGGTGACTGACAGCGGCGGCTCTGGGCGAGCGCGGTCCCCGCGTGCGCACACGCACCCGCTGCCGGGCAGGAACCCGCGGCCACGGGCGCCGGCTGACACACGGACGCGGAGACCTGCGAGCGGCGCACACGCTCCCCGTCCCTGGGCGGCGCGGGGCGCAGACTGGCAGCTGCGCGCCGTCCCCGGGGAGCCCGGCCGGCGGACCCGCAGCCCAGCCCCGCGGCGAGGCCCCGCCGGGAGCAGGTAAGGGCCGCCCGCTGCCCCTGGCCCTCCGCGCCCTGACCGCCCTCCCCACACTCCGGAATCTTCGCCCCTCGGGACTGCGGGTCCCTCCTGCAGTTTGATCGTTTCCCAAAGCCGCGTCCTCCGCGGAGGGACGGAGAGGGACCAGAGCAGCGGGGCCGACCTCCCGAGTCCAAAATGAAGCCCCTCCCTTCGCTGTTCCCTTCCTGCACCACAAGCGGACCCCCGCCCCATGTCTGGGGGCCCTGCGGGCGACCCATCCCCGTAGCCCTTAGGGGGTGGGTCGGCCTCGCTACCTCGCGCCCCTTCCGGTGCCAGAGGGAGGACCAGGGGCCGGGCAAGCACTGCGGCCAGAGACCTATAGCGTCCCGTAAAGACCTGTCTGCTCCCAAGGCACAGGGGCGCTGGAGGGTCCCTGGCTGCTGGGTACCTCAGGTCTCAGGAGGCTTGAGGGGTGAGCAAGCGATATGCTCGGTAGGAGGTGGGGTAGGGCCAGAATAGAATGCCCCACTATGGTGACACATTCCAGATTGTTCCAAGGAGCATCCTCTCTTGGTTTCCCGCAATATGGAAGAGCTGGGGTTGGGAAGGTTTTGGTAGTCCCATGAGGAAATGTCTTGGGGGCTGGGGGGGGGGGAGGCTATGGGAGAAAGACACCTGCTTCCGAGGCTGAAGAGGGCCCGCTAGATACCCCGTCCAGCTGCCTTAAAGGTGCAGGTTCCCGCGGCAGCTCTGGGAGGAGGGGGCCGCATTCTGGCAGGACATTGGCAGGCTGGGGCATCACAAGGGGCCAGGGTGCCAATGGATGGAGCTTGAAACTCAGAAGGGAGCCCAGCAGAAGCTGATTATATTCCACATGGAGTTGGGAAGTGGAGCCTCACCCCTGGAAGGAGCTCAGGCCCCCTTTGGAAGATGCTGGGGGAGGGTGGCAGATCCCTGCTGATGCTGCAGACCCTGTGTGTGCCTTTAGTGTAAGTGCGTCAGTTCCCTTTCTCCCCCTCCCCCAGCCTCGCAGTATCCCACAAAGCCACCCCCTCTAAAAAAACCCACGCACACACAAAAACAAAAAAAACCAGACACGCATTTGGCTTTTCCTGTGAGTGGCCCTGTGTGTGTGTGTGTGTGTGTGTGTGTGTGTGTGGCGGGGGAGGCTTGGGATGGATGGGGCTACACACAGACTGTGGAGGGCTACTTGCCTCCAGGCTGCTGCTGAAAGTCCGGCTAGAGGCGTTTGAGTGCTGTGGGCTTCAGAAGGGGATGGAACACTGTGTGAGCTTTGCGGGGTGGGTAGGTGGGTAGCAGCAGCACCCAGATTTTCCCAGGATGCCCCAATCTGAGTTCCGTGCTGGGTACAGGTGGGTTGGGTTGGTAGAGAACTCAGTTACAGAATGAATTGGGCTCCTGCTCCCCACTGACCTTGGAGAGGGCAAACAGAGGTGCCAGTCTGGACATAAGCCGAAATTTGAACGTATAAATTGGAGACAGAAGCCACTGGCAGGCCCTGGGCCAGATCTTCCAACCAATCCATCAACAAGTGTGTGTGGGGTGACCAGGGGGGCAGCCCATCCCTTCCTCCCCCTCCATGGGTAGTTCATCAGTGGTTCTGCGTCTGGGACAAGACCCTGGAATCTGTTTGCCACTGTTCACAATGAGGGGAGGTGTCTCTGGGGACTCTCTTGGAGGACTGTTTTCTGTGTTCTAAGGACTAGTCAGGCTAAAGGCTGGCAGGAGGTTGATTGGAGAAAGCTTCAGAACCATTTTTCTCCTGCGGCCACCCCCCTGCCATGCTCCTACTTCGGAATACTCTCTCAATTCGTGTTGAATAAACAAACACACAAATGGGTATTTACAATGAGCATATGCAGCTAAGAGGCTAGGAAAGACAGGAGCCAGGGCTGCAAGGTGTCTTCTTCCCGGAGACATGGCCTCAGGTCTCCCAGGTCTCTGGCCTCCCACGGAGGGAGATTTCATTGACCAAGGGCTGGCCCTAATCAAGTGGGGGACAGACACCTTGTGCTGTCTGCTGGAGGACAGAGCCAGGCTCTGCCCAACTCAGCACCAGGAAGGCCTTCTTCCCTGGGAGCCTACACCTGCGTGACAGTGGGTTTCCTGTCAGGGAGGTATGTAAACAGAAGTCTGATGCTCCAGACAGGGTCTGCCTGGGGATTTTCTCCCTGGGGAGGGTTCGAGGCCCTGGCAGCCTCGGACACCTCTGAACAGAGGCATCTGAGTCCCGGGTCTGAATGTCTGGGCCTAGTGGTCCAGCTGCCAGGCAACACGCAGGCAGCAATTCAACTGCGACGTGTTTGTACTGAGCCCTGGATGCCGTCATAGGCGCATAGTGACAATCACCCCCATAGTGACACACAAAGAGGAGTGACACAGAGCCGGGAAGGCTTCCCATGACACCTGCCAGAGAGCTGGGGCAAAACGTGCAACAACAGGAAGACAAATGGACATTGGGACACACACCCTCACACAGATCTAGACGTACCTGGGACTCAGACGTGTGCCCAAGGAAGGTCACGTGAACCCTTTTAATGAAAGTGCAGGTGCATGCTGAATGGGATGTGGGAAGCGCACACATTGCGTGAGACTGGGGCCCGGGCTGGGGAACTTTCTGCAGAGGGCCCGATTGTCAGTATTTTAGGCTTTGCTGGCCATACACTGTACAGCTACTCAGTTCTGCTGTTGCAGTTTAAAAGCATCCGCAGATGACAGAGAAACAAATGGGCACAGCTGGGTTCTGAGGAGTTGTATTTAGGGACACTCAGATCTGAATTGCATACGATTTTCATGTTTCCTGAAATGGGAGTCTTTTCATTTTTTTTTTTCCCCTGACCATTTAAAAATGTGAAAATCATTCTTGGCTGTCCAAAAATAGGTGACAGGCTGGATCTGATCTGCTGGAGGGGTTTGCTAAGACCTGGATGTCAGGTAAGAAGTGGCTAAGTAGGGGCTGAGTGTTGAGAGCTCAAGCTGCCCAAGGGGCCTGGGATGCCACCCCTCACTCAGCCTGGAGCTCACAGTGCCCCTCTGTTTAATGGGTCAGTGCCAGGAGAGGCTCCCCGCCTGGCCTGAGCACCCCACCGGAGAGAGAGGCCTCTGCCATGTCCATGTGATAAATTTCCCACTCTAAGGACACCTGGAGACCACATTCATGACTGAACACAAAACCTCACACCATTGGAGTTCTCTGGAGGCTCCTTTTCCATCCACCCTCTGTGCCCAGGTCTGTGCCCACCTCCACCAGGAGGGAGACCACAGAGGAACCTGGACATGCCCCTTGGTCCCAAGTGAGACTCAGAACACACAATGAGCAGGAAGAGACCCGAAAGCAGAGTGAGGGGCTCCTCGTTTAGGACTGGTGGTTCACAGAGGAGGGTGAGGTCAATGGAGGCTGGTGCAGCCAAGATGGACTTCCTGGAGGTGGCAGTAGGAGGTTGGGTTGGCTTTGAGAGCTACCTGGGTGCTCTCATTTCAGGTCCATGCATTGCCTTAGCTGTTCTTGCATTTTCCTCCTGACAAATGGGCACAGCAGAGGGTTGGCTGAGAAAAAGATCCAACGCTCCTTTATAGATATCTCCAAATTTCTCAGCTCGGATTTCCGGCTGGGTGGTGAGCCAGGTCCTGTCTCTGGTTTCTTCCTGCCCCTTCTGTCCCCTCCTCTCATTTTCTTTATGCCTGTTCCCCAGGGGTCAGCCAGAGAGACTGTCCTCTCCTGTCCTCACATGTCTCTGGGTCCTGTCTCTCTCCATTCCATCTGCTCCTCCCCAGGCCCCATCACTGCCCTGGCCCAGGACACAGCCTCAGTGCAGGATCTCCCCCTCCCACTGAGCTCCCCAGCCTTCTGAGGAATATTCCCTGCCCGGAAGCTTGTCACTTGACTCCCTGATTAAAACTCATCCTGCCCCTAGTCATGCCCAGTGGAACAAGGCTGCAGTGTCCCTGGCATCCAAAGCCTCTGCTCTCTGCCCCCACCTCCTGATACCTCACTGTGCCCCTCCACACCCCAAAGTCACCTTTCCAAACCCCTGCAGCAGGCCCTCACCAGTTTTCTGGGTCCCTTCCACGTGCCCTGCCTGTGCCAAGTGCTGGGGGCATCAGAGCTGGCCTTCCCTTCCAGGGGCTCCCATCTTCTCAGGGGGGACTGTGGTTAACAAGGGTCACCTCTCCCTAAGCCACACCCTGTGCTGGGAGATGCTCAGTAAATATCAGCAAACAAGTGCCAGCTCCTGGCTCCCTGGTCCCCTCTCCCTCCACACTTCCTGCTGCTTCCATCATGTCCCTTCCTGCCTGTTCTCCCCTCTTCCTCTCGCCCGGCCCAGGAAGGAGAGCAAGGGAGGCAGCAATCCACTTCTGGGTTATCACCTGCCTGCTGTCCAGTGTGGCACTGCCCGGGGATGGGGAAGGATGCTGAGCAGCCAGAGAAGTCCCGTAGGAGATGGACCAGGTGGCCCCGCCCCATGAGGGCAAGAGAGGGACCCAGGGCTGTGTGTCCCACTGTGAGGACATCGCGAGGTAAAGGACAGCCTGGGAAGACACAGTAGAAAGATATCAGAGCTTCTCCCCAGGGGGTGGAATGCTGGCCCAGCCGCTGGGAAGGGGTGAGAGCCCCATCCTAGGAGCTGGGCCATCTTGGGCTGGGGTGCTGTAGAAAGGGCCCTGCAGGGTGCGGGGCAGTGCAGTAGGGGATTGGTGGAGGGCGTCTGAGTCCCCTCCCACTCCACGAGGAAAATCGGGAGCCTGGTGAGTCACGGCCAGCTCCGGTGTGCTGACAGGTGACGCCGTCTTCCTGTGCGCCTGGCAGAGTGGCCCATCCAAGGACCGGCTGCTCTCGTCAGCTGCCCGGCCCCGTCTGTCGATGGACTCATGCGGCCCACCGAGGGCAGGCAGGGGCCCACACTCTCCACCGGGTGACCTGGGGACGTGTCGCCCCTCTAGTCTCTTCCCCCACAGTCAGTGCCACAGGGAGGTGGCCTGTAAAGTCCACTTCTGGCCTGAAATGCTGCGCTTCTGATGACGTCTACCCAAGGAGAGAAGTATGGGCAGGAAGCAGCAGAGGCCTGAGCAGTCCGAGCGGTGTGAGGAGGGTCACGAGGGCTGTCGCTGGTTCTGAGCGGAGTCCTTTGAGCAGGAACAGAGGCAGCAGGAGCCTGGGGTGCGCAAGCTCCGGAGCCAGGTGGCTCGGCCTCACATCCCAGCTCCACCACGGGTTTGCTCTGTGACCCTCAGGAAGTTGCACAGCCTCTCTGGACCTGTCACTCCAGCTACAGAATGAGGATGACGCCAGTCACTGCTTCATAGGTTTGGGCAGGTGAAGTGAGTTAATGCGTATTTATTGCTTGGAAGCATGCCTGACACATGCTGAGTGCCTAATAAATGGCAGTCATTAGTACAGAAAGGTGCAGCGGCCTGCTGTTCCCGTGTGTGTGGGACACAGGGCTGTGGGGTAGAGGAGACAGCCAGACGGGGCCAAAACCTGAACACGAGTGGTAAGATGTTAACAGTTACAGTTAACAGATGTACAGTCCTTACTGGAGCCAGGCTACCCTGTGTCCTCCGTGGTTTTACTGACCTCCATTTGTTGCTGCCTCCTCACAGTGATGTCCAGGAGAGAGAGATTACTATGATCCCATTTTGCAGATAATCAAATTGAAGCACAGAAGAGCTAAGTGACATGCTTGAAGCCCTTAAGCTAAAAACTCCCACAGACTGGTCCTTAAGTCCACCAGGGCAAATGTCAGGAGACAGGTTACGGTCCTCAGGTCATTGCCCCTGGACAGTGATCAGAGCCTGGACCCAGGAGCGGCAGCCTGGGAAGATGGGTGACCAGGTCGTCCTGAGCCACTCGTGTGGCTGGGCCAGAAGGGCCCAGGGTCCACCCTGGAGGGGGCTGCAGGGGCCAGGCCCGGCCCTGGGAGAGGGTCACCTGCAGCTTGGGGGAGTCAGAGGAGGGAAGCAGCCAGTGAGGAGCAGCAGCGGACAGGGCTGGGGTGGCTGACCCAGGGGTTCACCTACAGGGCAGAAGGGCCATTCACAGGGCGCAGGGGAGTACTAGGGGAGTACTCGGTTTGGGGCAGGCGGTCTGATATTGTAAACTCAGACCTGTCCAGCAAGGGTGCCAGGAGGGGCTGAGGAGGTGACCCCAGCTGAGGTGGGGGAGTGGGGAGGTCAGGGCTTGAGCGCTTTCAGGGTCTCTTGCTGGTGTGTCTGTCTAGCGGGCAGGGGGCGGACTGCAGTGGGGGAGGGAGGACAACAGTGGGCTAAGAGAATACACCTGAACTGCTCTCGTCACAAGGAAAAAATGCGTAACTCTGGGGATGGATATTAACCAGACTTACGTGGCAATCATTTTGCAGTGCGTAGATACTGAACCATCACTTGAAACCAGCACAATGTTAAATGTCAATTAGAGCTCAGAAAAGAATGAGAGGACAACAGTGGGAGTCCGGAACCCCAGGTCTAGTTCCAAAGCAGGCTTGTGTAGAGAGTCTCCCAACCCGTCCACCCTGTGTCCCCGGGCTGGGGCCGCCCCTGGCTGCTGGCTCACCTCGCTGCCTAAGCAGCCTGATGACGAAGCAGGGAGCGGGCCGCCTGGGCTGGGGCCTGAGCTCCAGCGCGTCTTCAATTCACTGCAGCGGTGCTGCGGCCCTGCCCTGTAGGAGAGCAGGGTGAACTCCGGCCCGGCCAGCGTGTGCCTGTGTGTCCTTCCGCCTGCGTCTGAATCCAGATAGATCGCATGGCCGCTGTGTAGCTGCGTGCCGTTGCGCACGTGTGTCAGTGTGTGTTACCGTACAGGCCAGGGGTCCGATGGACACACCTGAGTGTCTGAATTGCAGTGCGATTGCGTCTGCACGTCTTTGTTCTCGGTTCTGCGAGCTGCTTCTGCATCGCTGGGCAGGAGTGTGTGTGTGTGTGTGTGTGCGCGCGCGCGCGCGCGAGCATGCGGTTGTTTGTCAGCTCCTTTGTGTATTCCACACATGGCTGTTTGTATTGATGCCTTCAAGTGGGTGCCCTGGGGATAAATGCCTCTTTTTTGCCTCTGATCTGTCTCTGTGATCTTGTCTGTGGACATGTGTGTGTGTGTGTGTGTGTGTGTGAGAGAGAGAGAGAGAGAGAGAGAGAGAGAATGAATCAGAAGTCAGCCAGTCATCAGTACACTAACTCCGTGTTGCCCTCTGCCACCTGCTTGCCCTCTAGGGCGCCTGGAGCCCAGGAAGCCACTAGCTCTTGGGGGGAGCACTCTCGGTGCCAATGAAGGTTCAACAGGCTTTGTGACCCTGGGTACGTGAGTCACCGGGAGGGCCTTTATTCGCTCGATGCCGCCCCGCCCTAGGGTAGCCCACTCCGTCGGGCAGGGGTGATTTAAACACTCCGCGGTGGTTCTGAGGGGCAGCCCAGGTTGAGGTCAGAGTGCATGTTGAGACCAGGGTCAGCCCAGGTTGCTGGCATCCCTGCTGGAGGGGCTAAAGGCATTGTCCTGGGTGGAGGCCTCCCTGACTTCATACCTCAGCATCCTGTGGCCTGACGTCGGCCTGTGTGCCCGAGAGTCAGCCCCAGATCTGACACCTTCTGCTCTGTGGCTCTTCTCTGGGCCCTCTGCTGGCGGAGAGAGGCAACCTCCAGCACCGGCAGAGGGGGCTAGGCACTCTTGGTTCTGGCCAGGCAGGTCGAACAGGGTCTTGAGCTCCCCAGGGATAGTAAAGGTGACCGAGCCCCCGGGGACCACTAGTGCCAGGGCATGCCAGAGGCAGCCTGTGACCACCAGGGCTGGCAGAGCCCTGGGAGCGGATGCGGACTAAAGCCCGAGGGTCCGGCTCAGCCACCACCCAGGGGTGCTGAGGCCAGTGCCTTCCCAGCCTGTGCAGGCCTCCTGCACCCCTGGGGACAGGCTGGGCCAGCATCCCCGTGGCCTCCGGGTTCCCAGAGCATCTCCCAGGGATACCCGAGGCCTCCTTCAGCATCTGAGTGGGCCCCAAGCAGGGCGAGCGGCAGGTGGAGGGCGGGCCCCTTTCACTGAGCCTGCCTGTGGCTGTTTTCCTTCCACCACTTTGGGTCAGCTGGTCACCCAGTTGAGCTTGGAGAGGCTGAGGGCAGCTTGGAGAGGCCCGGAGAGAGGGAGAGAGGCGTGGATGGGCGGAGGGCCAGGGCACAAAGGCCCCGGGTAACGGCAGCCCTGCCTGCTGCTGGGGTGTGCAAGGACTCGTGTTCAGGATGCAACCCCCCTGGGCCCCCCGAACCAGGCACCCATGGGTTAGTGGTGACCTGACATGGGCCTACTCAACCTTTTAAGTAAGTTCATAGCAATCAAAAAATGTTTAATTACTGTGTAGTACTCCACTGTGTGGCTGTGCCGGGGCCAACCACAGTGATGGACGCCTGTGGCCCCATCTCTTGCGGTCGATGCCGTTTGCAGTGATGCTGCCGTGAGTAGCCTCACATGTGCCTCTTTGTGTTCAAGTGCAAACATTTCTCCAGGATAGATTTCCGGGCACCGACTTGCTGGATAGGTGGGAACATGCATCAGTGATCAGTCTTAGAAGCAGACCCGACTCATCCTCTGGGAGTGTGCTGGGGCTCCCCTGACCTCATCACTAGACTCCCCACTCCCTGTTGTCCCTACTGGTGGCCTCTGTCCAGAGGACCTCGAGCCTGTGCAGCGCCGTGTGCCCTTCCGCAGCCGCCTTGTTCTGCACGTTGCAGAGGTGAAGGCTGTCTCCTGGAGGCCCAGCGGGTGGAGGGGGCAGGCGGCGGAGCTGGTTGGGGCACCAGGCTCGGTGCTGGACCAAAGCCGCCTTCTCCCAGTGAGCAAGTTAGAAGTGCGGTTCTTTCCCACTCGCGTGGTGGTCGGGAGCTGGGGGAGGCGGCTCCACGAGCCACCCCCCATCCTGTTCCTTTGGGAATGTTGCTCCCCACTCCGCAGGGATGATCTCTGCTGCCCTGTCAAAGCCGGGTTGGTTCCGCATTTGGGAAGGGTGCAGGCACAGACAGGACAGCCTGCGATGCCTGATGGGCAAGGGGCACACGTCTCCGCCACCCCCACTCCACAGGTGGGGATTTCATCATGTGCTCTCGCCTGAGAGCAAGAGGGCAGAGGGCACACATGTGGCAGCCAGGCTGTCTTCGTGGAGGGACATGTGGGGAGGCAGCGTCTGCTGCCAAGGAGAAAGCCACCAAGCCCGTCCCAGGAGGCCACTGGGGGCTGAGCTCCCGCTGTGTCCCTGCGCCTAGCCCTGAGCAGGTGCTCGGCAGGTGTTTGTGGGCAGAGAATGAAGACCTGCACAGACAAAGGTGGGGGACGGGGGTGCATGGAGGCTGAGAGCCTTGCCCAGGTAGGGGAGACGGCCAGGGGGAAGGCAGGCTGTCTGCCCTCCTCTGCCACAGGACCCACGGGGTTCATGCCTCTCCTCTCTCTCACCCCAGACACCGCAGGGCTGGCCAGCGCTGCTGAGTGGGAGGCGAACGGTGCTGTCTGAGCCTCCCTGCGGGCTGAAAAGCGTCATGGCCAGCATCGTGCCAGCCTCCCTGGCTCTCCTGCTGCTGCCTATGGTAAGGACCCAGGACCGTCCCCTCCACCACCAGCCGGAGCCCCCAGCTCCCCTGAGCCCCCCCCCCCCCGAGAACCTGTGTCTGCCCATCCTCAAGACCCTCAGCTGACTTGATCGGACACTGTCGCAGTTTCCAGATCTGTCCTGATGCTGAGGCGGGGCAGGCATTCGAGCTCTGCAGTCACCGTCCTGCTCACTGTCTGCAGGGCCCTGGGCAGGGCCCCTTGGGCCCCAGTCCTCTGCCCTCGAGTCTGCCAGGTCAGAGCTCAGAACTCAGGCACCTGCTCCCTGCCCATGTCTCTCCCAGAGCAAGGGCGGGGGGAGCGTCCCCGCCTGGGCCCCTGCCTCGAGCTGGGCATTCAGACCAGCTGTGAATGTAGCTGTCTCAAGAGCCTGGACCCCGGTTTTGCCTGCCCTGCCTCACTGTGTGACCGCAGACAGGCCTGTCCCCTCCCTGGAGGCGTCTGCACCCCTGAACAATCGGGGCTGGACTGAACACTGCCTCTGGCAGCTCGGATGCCTGGTGCTGCCTCCATGCTCCCCGACATCCCCTTATGGAACCATTCCTGCCCCCGAATTTCCAGTGAGTCATGACAGCAATGCGTGGGCCTTGAAGTTCTTGGTCCTGTGCTTGAATCCACTCACCAGCTGTGGGACCTTGGGCAGGAGTCTCTTAACTTCTCTCAGCCTCAGTTTCCCCTTCTGTAAAATGGGGCCAGAGTAAATGAAAGTGGTTCATAGGCCCAATGAATGCTGCCTCCGCCTGCATCTCCTTCCTGAGCCTCCAGAGGGGAGAGCTGGTGAGCTCCCAGCCCCTCCCCTCGCCCAGCCCCTGCTGCTCCCTAAAGTGCAATAGTAGCCTCGTGGTCTCTGGAGCTAGACTGTCTGGGTTAGATCCTGGCTGTACAGTCCACTAAGCTGTGTGACTCTGAGCAAGTTACTTAACATCTCTGGGCTTAAGTTTCACAACTATAAAGTGAGAAATGGTAAAAACAGTGCCTGGTAGTAGCCTGGGTGTATCTGCATACACCATCCCACACACATGTAGTAGGTGGCAGAATAATGCAGCCCGGTGTGTGCTTGCTGCTGTTTGTATTAGACAGGGAAACCGAGACCCAGGGACCAGGTGGGACCCGCCCAAGGCCACACACTGAGTTGGTGGAGAAGAACCCGCATGGTATCTGTGACAGAGCAGATGTCAGGGTCCCCGAGGTCTCTCTGTCACTGTCCTCATCCTGCTTGTGCCCCTCCCCCACTGACCCCGGGCTTGGAGATGAACCTTACCCCCCCCCCCCCCCCGTCCCTGCAGACGGCCGCCATGCGCTCCGACTGCATGTTCAGGCAGGAGCAGGCCACGTGTCTGGAGAGGATTCAGAAGGCGAACGAACTGCTGGCCTCCAACAGCTCCTCCCGAGGTGAGTAGGGCGGAGGGGAGGACATGGTGTCCCCGGCACGTCCAGGCTAGCCTTTAGAACTGGCATCCCAGCCTCTAGCCACCTCGTAAAGAAAGGTGGAGGGGACAGGTCCCTGGGTCCTTCAGAAAGCCCTTGGGGGCGGTGGAGTCCTGGATCTTCTCTGCACAACGACACCGGGGTGGCCCTCCGGGGGTCGGCCCGCGCTGGATGCCTCCCGAGGGAGGGGCAGTGCTGGGTGGCTGGATGTGGCTTCCTTGTTCCCGGGGGGCTGGGGCAGCGCTGCGGGGCTGGGCCGTGCTGTCAGAGAACTCGTTAGCCGGCAGCCTGGGCCCGGCAGCAGCAGGGACACAGCTGTTGCCGGTGCCCGAGCTGGAGAGCAGCTGAGCAGCCAAGGCAGGACGTGTGGGGCCCTTTCCCGCCTCCTCTGCTCACTGCATCGCAGCCAGAGAACGAGGCAGCGGCGGGACCCCCAGTCCAAGGCCTGTCTGGGCCGCGCTTCTCCCAGGGCTGCTGTGAGCCTGGAGAGGACTGTGCCTGCCCCACGGGAGGGGCCACGCTGCAGGCCACGCTGCGGACAGTCAGCATCGAATTCTCCCCACTAGATGCCCATGGCTCCCCAAATGCTTCGCAACATGTCCACACGTCCCGAGGCAGTGGCGTGGCCCCCGGCTGAGAACCAGCGGTCCTGTGCAAACCCTCCTCCTCTCCCCTCACTATGCAGACGGGCCCTGAGTCCACAGGACGGGACTCCCGGCGTCTTGACTCCCCGCAGCGCCAGGGAGAGGCTCTGCGTGAGCAGCTGGGGACTTGGGGGCCAGGGCATCCTGGAGGCCTCGCCAACCTCACTTACACCTCTGTCGCTGGAGGGTGGGACTCCCTGCCTAGACTAGAAGGATCCACTTTTCCTCGGATCCTCCCCGTTCACAGGGAGCCCTTCTGAGCACCATCTGTTTAAGTACTTGATTAATCTGCAGCCCAGTTACGGGTAATGGTCCCTGCAGGCGGAACTCCCGGCCAGACTGAACGTTCTTTTTGTTTTGTTTTGTTTTATCCTCGCCCGAGGACATTTTTCCATTTTTTGTTCAGATAGAGTGGGAGGGGGAGAGAGAGCGAGAGAGAAACATTGACTTGAAGGGGACACATCGAGTGGCTGCCACCCGCACAGCCAACCAGGGCCGGGGACAAACTGCAACCGAGGTACATGCCCTTAGCGAGAACTGAACCTGGGTCTCTCTGGACCGCAGGCCGACGCTCTAACCGCTGAGCCAAACCGGCCGGGGCCAGACTGTGAAAGTTAACTGGAAACGGAGCAGCTCCTGGCCATGCCGGCGTCGCCCTCCAGCCGCACTCTGGCTCAGCCCCACCCAAAGCTGCAAGTGGATTCCAGGCCTTACCAGCCAGGGAAACTGAGGCAGGGAAACTGCCCAGGTGCTGGATACCAAAATAACATCTGTCCAAGGCTCTGGTCACCAGGGGTGGGGAAACTTTTTCCTGCCAAGGGCCATTTGGATATTTATAGTAGCACATCCATGGGCTATACAAAATTATCAACTTAAAAATTAGACTGCTGTATTTGGCCAGGCGCATTTTATGAGGTGTGTGATGTCAGCTGGTACTGATTTCTCGGACCTTGCGTGGCCCGCGGGCCAGACTTTCCCCATCTGGGGAATGGGAACGCGGCCCTGAGGTGGACCTGGAACCCAGGTGTCTCGCCTTCCAGCCCAGGACCATTGTTCCTGTGTAACAGGTGTCAGGTGCATTTGGGGTTGGGCGGCAAGAAGCATCAGGAGGGAAGGACAGAGGAGGGAGGTGGGGAGGAGGTGGCACAGGTGTGTGAGCCCTGGGCTGGGAGAGGACAAGGAGGATAGCCCACAGGAACGTCCCGGCACACGTGTGAGCGAGACAGAGGTGAGGATGGATGCCCGCCCAGGAGGGGGCATCTCACGCGCAGGTGTGCTCGGGAGAGGAAGAAAGGAATTCTGGGAGGATTCGTGGAGAGAAAGGTATTTAAACTAGATCCTTGGTTGTCAAACCTCGCGGCACATCGGAATCACCAGGGAGCTTTTAGAAAAACGTGCCCAAGAGCAGCCCAAACCAGTTGAAGCAGCACCCGGTCCCTCCAGCCACCATGAACTGTAAAGACTCCCGGGCCGGGCTGCAAACGCCTCAGCGAGCCCCCAGGGGCCAGCGGGCACCTGACGCAGGTAGGAGCTGAGGGTCGATGAAAGGGGAGACCATCCTCGGCTGGGGAGCCCCAGCAGCAAGAGGTGGGAAAGGGGGACTGAATAGCTTGCTGTTTCTGGAACCCTCTATTGGGGTGAGGGACTGTGTGTGGGTGGGGCATCATGGGGGCTCCTAGGGACTCCTCGGGGGGCACCTGCACTCCTTAAATCCTTGTCCCTCACGGGTCCCAGGACCTCCACCCCCAGAGAACATCAGGTGCCAGTGTGTATAGTGGCCTTCAGAGTGGACGCCAAGGGTTATGCTGGGGAAGACGTGGGAGCCAGGCAGGCGGGTGATGGAGCAGAGTCTCGGCAAGGTGATGGAGAGTGGAAGCAAGCCCTCCGACTTGGCACATCTCTGGCATGTCGTAAAGATGTTTATTGAGAGTTATGGAGGAGTTGTACTTAGTGGTTGGTCCCTCATTCCAACCCCTGAATGCTAAACGGGACTTGAGACTGCACTGAGCCAGCTCTGTCACGTGACACGGAGAGGCTGAGACCAGAGGGGCAGTCACTAGCCAAGTCTGCCGAGGGCGAGCCAGCTCTGGGACAGGCCCCAGGTCTGCGGCCCCGCCGGGGTGCCCTTTGTGCCACAGGCGCTCTTGTGCCAGGAGAAGGAAAAAGGACCCCTGCGCGTGGGAACCCGACTCCCCACTCCTGAGGGTCTCAGGCCCGCGCGGGTCACAGGCCCTGCCTGCTGGGTGGGCCGGTTTGTTCTCTGCTCTGCCCAGGCAGCCAGCCTGCCAGGGTCCGTCCAGCCAGGGCCTCCTCCTTGCAGGGCCGAGGGCTGCATCGGCCTGGTGGCCCGGCCTGCATTTACGCAGGGCCGGTCGGGTGTGGTCCTCCTTGGGGTCCCCAGACCCAGGAGGAGATGGAAGGGGGAGCCTGCAGGGCCTTGGCAGAGGCAGAGGAAGGAGACTGTGAGGAGACGAAAGCCTGCTCATTGCTGTTCCGACCCGGCCTCTGGGGCCAGTCCAGGGTGCGCAGGGCCTGGGCCCAGCCCCACCCCCACCCTCACCCACGGCAGAGAGGCCTGGAGGAGGGAACCCCTGCAGGGCTGGGCCTAGGCTCCCCGTCCTGAAGCAAAATCAGCCTCGTTTCTGCACCTCCCAGCTTCTCTGAGACGAAATAGGCACCCAGCATGGGGGACGAGTGGGGTCTGCAGGGACCCTCACTCTGAGGGACTCACTCCCCAAATCTGACTTGAGTCTGCATCAGAATCTCCTGGAAAGCGTGTTAAAACCCAGATGGCTAGCCTAGCCCCCGAGTGTCTGACTCAGTGGGTCTGGGTGGAGCCTGGGCATCTGCATTTCTGGCAAGTCCCCAGTGGTGTTCCTGGTCAGGGGTCCACACTTTGAGAGCCGCTGACCTCGAGGGGAGGGCTGCATCCTGAGCCCCTCCCCCCACACGCAAACACTGAGCTCACAGCTCGTCCGCGTCTCACAGATCAGAAGCACGGACTGTAAAGTAACTTTCAGTACCCCGAAATCACTTTCACCCTTGAACTGTGTGCGAAAATGAGGGGCTTGTGCTAACCATACCCGAGCACCCTCGGGCGGCTTCTCTAAGGGACCCCCGTGCCTGTCTGAGTCCCTTCGGTGCTCGGGTCTCACGGGTTTTGACACAGCATGGAGCTGGACAGAATCGTCACCATGACGACCTGAGATTAGCGTCTCACTTTGTTCCAGTCCAGGCTAATGGCTCGCAGTCCTCTCTCTCCAGCGGACTTTGCTCCGGCCGTGTGACAAGGTGCGGCCTCCTTGCTGCTTTGCGTCGGTGGCTGGGTGGGAGCAGCCCCGGAGAGGGGGCCTTCTGTCCCCAGGCAGGCAGAGCCAGGAGGGCACTGGGAGAGGTCGGGAGGCGAGGGGTGTCCCAGGGCAGGGCCCCCCAGGGCGAGGAGCGGTTCTGGTTTCCGACTGCCTGAGCAGGGGCAGGAATTGGAGGGGCGCTTCCTCAGCCTCCCGGCGGTGTGACGCGCTTGACCGTCTCCGCCTTGAAGCACGGATCCTGGCTCCCGTGACACTAACCTCTCCTGGTTTCCTGGTGTTCCTGGCCACCCCTCAGTCTTCTTCACCAGCTCCTATTCTTTTTTTTTTGGTTAATCTTCACCTGAGGATATTTTTTCCATTGACTTTGTAGAGACAGTGGAAGGGAGGGAGGGGGAGGGAGAGAGACAGACGTGGATGTGAGAGAGACACATCGGTTGGTTGCCTCCCGCACATGCCATGACCAGGCCCAGGGATGGAACCTATAACCCAGGTACATGCCCTTGACCAGGAATCAAACCCGTGACCCTTTGGTCCGTGGGCCGACAATCCATCAGTGAGCCACACCAGCCGGACTGCCGGCCCCTCTTCGCCATTGGCAGTCCTGCTGTGGTTGGGGCAGGTCCTCCTCTGGGCTTCTCAGATCCGCACCTTCCTATTGGACACACCCGCCAGGTCCGCGGCCCTGCAGAGCAGCCCAGTGCGGAGCACCCCTGTTCTCTCTCCAGTTCCCACTTCCCCGCTGGACCCCAGACCTTTATCTGACTGCCCGGGGGAAAGCTTGGCAGAGGCCCCTTGGGGATGTTTGCGTGGCAGTGGGGCCAGGAGAGGCAGCCCAGCCTCCGCAGCCTTCTTTCTGGGCACCAGCAAGTCCCGAGTGAACTCTGTTCCTGATTTGGGCTCTCGTCAGTCAGTGTTGGGAGTACCCTCAGGGACACCCAGCCCTTGGTCCACGCAGGGAAACTGAGTCAGGGTGCAGGGGCTAGAGACTTGTCAGGGTCATGCAGTGAGCCCTGGGCAGAAGCAGACAGAACTCCAGCCTCGTGGCTGCCCTGCAGGGAGGGGACACGGTGACCCCTCCAATGCAAACTTCCCAGTGTGTCTTCTCCACCTCTGTGGCCCTGGGCCGAGTGGGCCCTGGCACATGGCAGGGGCTCGGAAAATAGCTGTGAAGAGAAGTCTCCCGCCCTGCCTCCAGGCCTGCCCTCCACCCTGGGCCTCCTTTCTTGCTCATGCCGACCCCCGAGCTCTGCGCCCCTCCGGCCCTCCATCCTCATGACTGCTCACCTCCATCTACACCGCCCGGGGCCTCGGGAGCGGCAGCTGGTCGTAGCAGATGGCTGTGCCAGGGCCCCTGTTCCATGTCAAGGGAACATCTGTTCACGGGCTCTTGGGACATGGGCCAGGTGTGACCACGCTCCATGGCCATTCTGCAGTCACCGTGGGCCACAGCAGCCAGTGCTGTGCTGCTGGGTCGCTTTCAAGGACCCGGTGTCGCAAGCAGGTGTGTGGGTGGTCAGGAACCATCAAGAACTGGCCTCTGCTGTGAGGCTGGGGCCACGGCTCCTCCCGCGTGGCCCCCGCGTGGCCCCTGCCCTTACCTGCCTGTGGCACCTCAGGCTCCCAACTCCATCGTTCCAGGTCTCGGTTCTGAGAGACAGACCGCTCCTGGTCCAAACAGCACCCAGACCCGGCTGCTCACGGACCCCGACAGCGCAGGAGGCCTGCCCCTGGCCCGCCCTGCCTGGCGCCTGCCCAGGCTTCCGCGGTGACCTGCCGGCCCTCCGCTGGCCTCTGCTCCCGCCCGGCCTCCCTCGGGAATGCGTTCCCGGGACGCCTGATTGACATCGTGACGTTAGCGATGCTAACAGCAGGGGACGTGCATTGAGTGAGCTTGGCACTCTGCTGGGAGCTGTGCGCGTCTGAGCTCATTAGTCCTCACAGCCGCCGCGGGAGGTGGCACTCGGTCACCGCCGCTGTCCCTCACCTGCGAGGAGCTGTCCACGGGGTTCCCTCCTCCACGTCCTTTCCCTGGTGAACTCCCCTCCCATGGCCTCCCCACGCCCGTGGTGCTGGGCCTGGGGACCACGTTAGGAAGGCGAGGCGACAAGACCCCTGAGAGGCGCTCAGGCCAGGGTGTGGCTCGCGTGGCTCGCGTGGCTCACGTGGCTCTCTCCCCACAGGCTGCCCCGGCATGTGGGACAACATCACCTGCTGGAAACCTGCCCACGTGGGTGAGATAGTCCTTGTCAGCTGCCCCAAATTCTTCCAAATCTTGGATCCAGACCAAGGTGGGTTTCCCCTGGGGCCTCTTCAGGCCACACTCAGTCCGGCCCCCTCCCCACACTTGGGCCCCAGACGTTCCCGGGACACCAGCACCAGGACACCGGCACGCCCAGGCCGGTGGCTTTCCCCTGCTCCGCAGCCCTCATACCGCGGGGAAGGTGGGCTCTCACGTGGCTTCCATCTCACCCCGCTGTGGACCTTGGGCAAGGCCTTCGCCCCGTCCTCTGTTCTGTCCAAGGGGAAGGTGGTGTGGTGCCTGGCGACTCGAGTGACACACGTGGGCGTCTTTGGCTCAGGATTGGGCACGTTTTAATATTCAGTGGTAACTGTTCGCTGATGTTACCATCGTCATCACTCAGAGAGATGCTCAGAGGCGCAGGGACACACACAGACTCGCAGTGAGACCCTCTGGCCGCTGGACGTGATGCTCTCCTGCGTCCACACACGCACACCACACAGACCCAGGCCCGGGGCCCAGGCCTGCGTCGGTCGGGCACGCGTGTGTGGTCCTCGCTGTCCTCAGGCCGCTGTGAGGGCAGGAGGGGGGCAGCGGGGCTGGTTTCCCCCCGGGCGGTTTCCTGAGAACCCCACTGGCCGCCCAGCCCTGGGCCGGGCCTTGGTTGCAGGAAGCATCTGAGTCACCTGTGGCCACACACAGGTCCCTTTCAGCCTGGGCCTCAGCCTCCTCCTCCTCCTGAGGCTCCGGCTGACGGCCTTCTAGAAGTAGCTTCCAAACCCCACCCACTACAGAGTCCTGGTGGCCAATGTCCCCCGTCCCGTCTGAGAGACAGACGCAGATTCTCTTTTGTCCCTGGAACTCGCCAAAGCTGACCCTGCCCGAGAGCCAGGTGCTTGCGGGGTGTGGCAGTGGGAGAGTGACAGCGAGTTGGGGTGCCAGGCCTGTCGTGGCCTTCCCTCCCAAGACCAGAGAAGCAGGGAGCAGGCGCGATGCCCTCCATCCCCCCTCCTCCCGTTCGTCCCCTCCGGGGCCTGTTAGCCGCACCTCCCACCCCAGACCCCCTGCCAGCCCGGAGGAGGGTGGCAGGACTCCTGTCTGGACGACGAGGGGTCTGGGTGTGACCATGTCCTGACTAGAACAGGACAGGAGGTGGATCCTGAGAGAGGAGACACAGGAAGGAAGTGCAGAGTGGTGGATGCCAGGCATGGGGCAGCCCAGCCTCTAAGCCATCCCTACAGAAGCCAGGACACACATCCTCCGTGCCAGACTCCTTTTATTCATCGTTCCCTTAGCGTTCATTGAACGTCTACTCCGGGTCAGGTACCGAGGCAAGCCTGCCTCTTTTCAACAATTAAGAAAGGCAAAATCAGCAGCAAAATGGGATTTCCCTAAGATAAACATTCCCTCAGACTCATCTCCCTCTGGCGCTGCACAATGAGTGTTCTTTGCACCTGCTTCCTAGTGGCTCATTAAGGCAGGGCCTGTTAGCACCTCCGTTCACACAGCCGAGTCGGTGAGACTGCTTGAATACTTAGGAAGCTGAGAACGGCATCTCTCGTCTCATCTCCGGGCTCCCAGGGCTGAGCCCCACGTGCACTGTGGTAGTTGTTGCTTTGCAGGCTATGGAGGTGCGGGAGAACTCTCCCCTCCTCCAAGGCCTCTGCATCGCTCTGTACCTGTCCTGTGGTAGAGGGAGGGGTAGAAGTCTGCCGTGTCCGGCCGGTCCCCAGCATGTAGTCCTCAGGGCTCTGGGCCCAGAGTTTGGGGGTGGGGGAGAGAGGAACCAGTAGGACCAGTGAGAGCAGACCCCACTTCAGCCCTTGCTCATCTCTGTGTTCTCTCCCTTTCTCTGTTTCAGTCTGGGAGACAGAAACCATCGGTAAGAGGAACCCTGGAGAGGACAGACTGCCAATCATCTGCCCATCTGTCCATCCAGCTGGAGGCCAGCTCTGACTCCTGGGAATGGGTGGGGGTGGAATGAGAGGCTTATCAGGGACTAGGCTCTTCCCTCCTCCCCCTCCTGTCACCCCCCTTGGCCATCCTAGAGATGGGTGGGGACACAGATAGATGGAAGGTGCAACCCTGGACCCAGGGTGCTCGTGGGCTTATTTGGGAGGATGCGACTTACCCATGGAGGGGTTAACAAGCCCGCCATGTGCATCCGTGCGGGCCTGGATGTGTGCGTGAGCCCACACAGACACTGACCTCCCCAAGTGGCAACAGAGTTGGAATGTGCAGCAAGCTCGAGAGCAAGAGACCTAAGGATGCTGCATGCAGGCAGAATAATGTAAAGGCCCAGGGAGGCTTCCTGGAGGAGGCGGCCTGCCAGCTGGACCTTGGAAATAGGATTTGGAGAAGTGGAGGTTCACTGCTAGTAAGGGAGTCCTTGCAAAGGCCCGTCATCCGCTTTCCTTCCTCTTCCGCTCCGGAGGAGACCCTCTCATCCCGACAGCGGCCCGTGTCCACGTCCTGTGGCCCAGGGCGGAGAACTGAGGCGGCGGCATCATTAGCATCACCGAAATGCACACAAAGCAAACGGGATTGACGTTAGAATGTGCAGTGGCAGAAAGGTGTGCGGCCGAGAGCCCGCCCCTCCTCCAGGCCTGGGGCAGCCTTGGCCGTGCCGCTGGAGAGCTACAGTGGGCAGCCCTGGCGAGCCAGTGGCCGTGCGCTCTGACTCATGCCCATGTCTGTGTTTTGCAGGAGAGTTTGATTTCGAAGACATTAGTTCCTTGGATCTCTCAGGTGAGTTGGGGTCAACCGCGGACTGGCCGTGGGGGGCATCTGCCCACGTGTGCGCGTGGGGATCCCTCCCCCAGGCCGGCTATGCCTCTCTGGCTGTGTGACCTCTGGCGGGTCCCTTTCCCTCCCTGGTAAGGCTGTGGATCTTCCCCGTGGAAACTCAGGCGCTCGGACAGAACGTGGTACGCACGTTCAGGACAGCACGGGTCTCTCGAAGCCCCGTTGTGGATTCTAAATAAAGACCTCCTGGATGAGGTGGCCCCTGATAGCTTTGAAACCCCGAGTGTAGAATGGTGGTTCTCATACTTTGTGGTCATGATCCGCCAGTGGGCTTGTGAAAATTCAGATTCCTGGGCCCCTGCCTGGAGCCTCTAGTTTAGTAGGCCTGGGGTGGGGCCCGAGAACGTGCATTTCTAGCCAGTCCCCCAGGGGATGCGTCTGGTCTGGGGAGGGCACCCACTTGGAGAACCTCTGCCCCGAGGTCCCGTGCTCCCACGCAGTTGCTGGGGTGACACCCTAGACAGGTCACCAGCCGCCGTCACTGGGGTGCTGACAGTGGAGACCAACCACCCAGTGGCCGAGCATGGCACTGTTCTGAACAGAGACTCACACTTTTCTGAGCCCGCACTGTCACTAAACGCAAACGAGAAAGAAGGAGACTAGAGAAAGGAAATGGCCCAGGACACTTGAAAAGAAACCGCCTTTCGACTTCCCCGCCCCGGCCCCTGCCATGGGCAGAGGGAGCAGAGGGAGGCCCGGGGGAGGAAAGTGGCCAAGGCCATGGTCCCCTGGGACGTGCGGACCCTGGAGAAGGGCCCACAGGGACTGGGGAGGGTTGCTCGGTGGCACTGAGGCAGGTTTGCCGGACGTGGGGTAGCTGCGTGGGGCTGTGAGGCAGAATGACTCCTCCCGGGCCTGCCGGACCCCCCGTCCTGTTGAGGGCCCAGACCCCAGAGCCACGCGGACCCGTGTCCCTGCTCTGGCCGAGCTCTCTTTGTGGCAGCGTCTCTGTCCCTCTGCTGCTCTGGGAAGCCCCGGAACGCGCCTTTCGGACTCTCTTGGCTAGAGGGCATGAGGCTGGAAAAGTGGAGGTGGGGTCTCCTGTCTTAGTCCCCACGCTGCCTCCTTGCAGAGCTCCCCAAAGGTGGCCTTGGCCATACCACCGAGGTGGGGTTCCTCCAGCAGCCTGGGTGCTGGGGCCCCTTTTCTGCAGATGTCTCTTGTCCACAGAATCCTGTGAAGGGAGAGCCACCTCCTCTGTCCCAGGAGGCCAGTCTGGGCACAGGGGTCGGGCTGGGGCCACACTCAGGGGCTGGCTGGAGGCAGAGGGCACTGCTTGCCTTGTCCCTGCCCCTGGACATCCAGAGGTCAGCCTTACAGATGAGCAGGAGAGGGGAGGGTGAGCTGCGCCCGGGCACCACTGTGCGGCCTGCCAGTGACTCGGACCCTCCAGTGTCCCACAGAAGGGCCTTTAAAGCCGATCAGAAGAAAACTAAACTACATTAGTGTCAGGAAACGGACCTCTAAACTCAGGAAGGCAAGTTCTTCTTCAGAAAACCCAAGTGTGTATCCTCATAAGACCTGTGCTGTTGATGGGGGTCTGGCTGTCTTCTCAGTTACACCCTGCGTCCCCGTGGTACCTGGCGTGGCGGCCGCGGGGAGGCCCAGAGCTCCCGGTGAAAGTGTCGCCTAGGGCTGACCTCCTCGAGGTGTGAGGGGATGTCCTGCCCCACAGTCACCTGAGGTGATATTTGGACCAGAATCCCAGGGTGGGGTGGGAACAGGGCCTGGAATCTGCACTGATGATCCCGGCTGTTCTGTTCACTGAAGTTTGATGAGTGCTGACCCGGGCCCCGGAGAGGGGCCCAGGCCTCTTTCTGGGGAGCCTCTGCCGGTTCCAAAAGGGAAGGAGGCTGGATTCAGCCCGGCCTGTCCTCTCTGCCCTGGTTAAGAGATCGGCTTGTGCCTCCCCCGCCCCCGCGCCCTTTGGAACGGCTGAGCTCCAGGCCGTCAGCCGTCACTCTGCCCGTGGACAGTGGAGGACTTTGTGAGCCTCGAGTTGCCACGCTTCCAGAGGGGTGAATGGGGTTCTGGGAAGCCCCCTTGCAGAGTAACCTCCGAATGAGAACTTCCGGGACCTCTTGGGCCACGTCCGTGCTCTGAGCTCTGCTTCTGCTGCAGGCATGCGGGTGGTGGGCCGGAACTGCACGCGGGACGGCTGGTCGGAGCCCTTCCCTCACTACTTCGACGCCTGCGGGTTTGATGAATATAATGAGTCCGAGGCTGGGGACCAGGTGAGTGTCCGCCCCCCCTGGAGGGGGTGGAGGTGGGGCTGAGGAGGTGGGTGGAAGGGTGTGCCCACCAGAGGCCTTGAGTCCTGCTGGGACTACAGGAGTCTCAGGTCCCAAGGCAGCGTTCATGCGCACCCCTGTGTACCCCGCCGGCTGAGAAGAAGGCCAGACCCCCACTCACTCGTTCTGGGCCGAGAAGCAGCTGCTTCGCTGCCCGAGCACCTCCAGAGCCCACCGCACGGCCGCCACCTCCCTGGCTACTCTTCCAGGACACCCAGCCTTCGGTGGGAGGGTTGCTGCTGGGCCCGGCAGCCATCCTCCGGGACCCTGCTCTAGGCCAGGGCAGTGAGTGCGTTCAGAAGCACGCACTGAGCGTCTGAGGGGTGCAGACACTGTGCAGAGGGGGAGCCGCTCAGCGGGCACTGGGGGCTGGGGCGGTCCGGTGGTAGAGGCACTGATGGGGGAGCAGAGGAGGTGATATCAGCAGGAAGAGAAGAGGGGGTGGAGCTGGATGGTAGGCCTGGGGGACCGGGCTAACCCTGTCTGTCCTGTGCCCTGCTCCAGGATTACTACTACCTGTCGGTGAAGGCCCTGTACACGGTTGGCTACAGCACGTCCCTGGTCTCCCTCACCACTGCCATGGTCATCTTGTGTCGCTTCCGGTGAGATTCTAGCAGTGTCCAGTGAGCACAGCCCACCCCAGCGCAGAGTCCTGGCTGCGCCCCTGGACGCGGTCCTGCAGCTCCCACTCCAGGCGTTGCCCCCGCTCCTAGGGCCCCGAGAGGGCAACTGTCCAGGGCAGGAGACCTCCAGGCCTTGCTGTGTCTGCCTGGTCTAGACAGAGAGGTCATTGGAGGGAGAGGTCTGGCCTCGGGTCATGGGGCCAGGTGACGGGCCTGGAACAGAGGTGGGAGGGAGGAAGGTGTGGCGGGGGGGACACCCCATTGACACAAAGCCACGCCGTTGGCCCCGAGTGCGGGTCGCAGTGCTGGGGTTCGCTGCTCCAAGGCCTCTCCCCCTCCGGCGTAGGAAGCTGCACTGCACCCGAAACTTCATCCACATGAACCTGTTCGCGTCGTTCATGCTGAGGGCCATCTCCGTCTTCATCAAGGACTGGGTCCTCTACGAGGAGCAGGACAGCAACCACTGCTTCGTCTCCACCGTGAGTGAGCTGAGCCCGCCAGGCTCGCCCGGACGCCCCGCCGTCTGGGGCTGTCCTGTAGGTGAAGACGCTGTCCCCAGCGAGCGCAGACATCCAGGAGGGATCACGAGGCCACTGTAGCCAGGGATCCCCCGCAGGATGCCACCGCCTGTCCCTCAGCATGTACTTGCCCTTGGCAGAGCAGCTGAAGGTCAGGTAGACAGGCCAGGCCCCACTCGGCCAAGGAGGGACACAGGCTCAGAGAGAGGGCCCGGCTGGCCCTGGTCATTTACCTCACCCATGATGGAGCCCAGGGGCTGATGGGCTGGCTTGCTTTCTAGACCCCAGACCTTTGGAGGTAAGCAGAGAAGATAGGTTTTGATGACATAGGATGGTAAAAGCAGTCCAGAGCACAGGGCCTTGACCTGGGAGGGCACACTGAGAAGAGGTCTCTGTGAGATTTCGGGGGGCCAGAGGTATCCTCCCCACCCCGTGATGTCCAAAGCCCTCATTTTATAAAGGGGCCTCCCACAGGGACCTGCCTACTCACCCAGCCTGTGGGGCTGGGGAAGGGGTAGGAAGACGGGAGAATGTACCTGGGGAGGGGAGAGGCCTCGTGCTCACCCCATCCTGCCCCCTGCCGACGGGCAGTGCTGCCTGCATGGGCAGCTTCCACTCAGAACGAGGGGCTGCTGCAATGTCAAACTCTCGGAGTCCAGGGGTGTTGTGTGAGCCTGCGCAGGCCTGAGCTGAAGGGCCCAGGGTTCTCCTGGCCCCGTGGGCTGGGTTTTCAGGGCTCAGCGGGGCAGGGGACGGGGCTCACCCCCCCCCCCCCCCGGCTCTCTCGGCAGGTGGAATGCAAGGCCATAATGGTTTTCTTCCACTACTGCGTCGTGTCCAACTATTTCTGGCTGTTCATCGAGGGCCTGTACCTCTTCACCCTGCTGGTGGAGACCTTCTTCCCCGAGAGGAGATACTTCTACTGGTACACCATGGTCGGCTGGGGTAGGTCGCCAGCTCAGGCCTCAGGGTCACGCATGTCTGGGTGCCCATCGGGGAGTGTCAGGCCGGAGGAGGAGGCACCTCGCTGTCCCCGCTGATGGCACACCTGCTCCGTGGACTCTCTCTTGCTTCTCCTACCCACAGAGGATGTGCTCAGGGGTCCTTCTGCGAGGCGACCTGGCCATGGTCAGGGGGAGAGATGAACCCCTAGGAGGCCTGGGTGTCAGGACAGCTAGGGTCCCCCAAACTCCAGGTCTGAGAGGGAGACATGCCTGTGGTCAGAACCCCATGTCTGAGGGGGACAACAGCTGCCGGGAGCCCCCGTCTCAGGGGGACACTGGACCTGTAGGTGTCCCTGTTATCACGGGGCTCCTTTTGTTGCTCTTGCAGGGTCCCCAACCATATGTGTGTCGGCGTGGGCTGCGCTGAGGCTGTACCTGGATAACACAGGGTGAGTACGCGTCCCGGAGCAGGCTGGAGCCCAGGCAGGGCGTCACGTGGGTGCTCCGTGGCTGCCTGACTCCTTGTTAACTGCCCCAGATACACCAGCCCATGCAGACCCCGATGGCACCCAGCCCCGGCCACCCATCACCCTGAGCCCACCACAGCCGGCTCCACCCAGCTGCATCTCCCCAGAAGGCAGGGAGACGAGCATGGTTCAGAGCCCTGCTCTGTCCCTGGGCCCAGTGCGGGTCTGTTTTCCTTTTAGGAGGGCAGGAAGAAGGTTCAGGGGAAAGTTGTCCCCCCAAGAGCCCTGGGTCTGAAGGGAGAATGTGGCCCTTGCCCAGGAGCCCTTTGGTGACCCTGGCTCTCGGGCTTCAGTCCCTGCGTTGATGGGAGCAGCAGCAAGGCCCCCGGCACCTGATGGCTCTCCTTCCAGCCACCCCTCCTCAGGGAGCTGCAGGGAAAATGCATCACCCAGGGGCCAGAGCCAGCTGCAGGCGTCCTGTCCCCTGTGCATAATCTCCTCTGTCTGTCTTTCAGCTGCTGGGATATGAATGACAGCACACCTCTGTGGTGGGTGATCAAAGGCCCTGTGGTTGGTTCCATAATGGTGAGTGTCCTTTGGACAAGGAGTGGGGAAGAGATGGTTGCTTGAGCCAAAAGGCACAACAGGAGAGGAAATAAAAAGGTCACCACCCAAATCAACCTCCTCCTTTTTCGTGGCTGCATTATATTCTGCAACATGGATGGACATATTATTTAGCTATCCTGAGAGTGTTGGCCATTTATATTATCCCATTTTTTTCCTCTTCACAAAAGATACTTCTAGGGACAGTTCTGTGCATAATTTTGAGCACATGTGATATTTGTTTAGAATAAATCCTTAGAAGTGGATTTGCTGGGTCAATTGTCGAGTACACTTGTACTATCAGTCATTTCCATTCTTGCACAGTCTTAAGGGGGGCTCACAGTTGCTTAATGCTTTCATGTGTATTTCTCCACATTGCTGGTGCCACTGGGCATTTTTTCCAATCATTTATTGACCATCTGTTTTTATTCTGGTTATTACCTTTTTATTTATTTATTTGTTTATTTTTCTAGCCCAGTTGTTGTCTTTCTTATGTTTGAAGGATGGTAATGCTACATTTGGTATACGTGTAGTAAGTGTACCTCCAAGATGGCATAATTCTTGTACAGGGAAGCTGTCAGGCTGTCTCTGTACAAAGCCAAGCCTTGTTTCTTGTTTAAGGAGGGCTTTCCAGACCGAAGACAGAAAGACGTGCTTCTTAATTGTTCTGTCACATTTTTGTCAGTTGGGTTATTACATGCTTTAATCCAGCTGACATTTTATTTCTTTGATCTGAAATGATGCCTAATTGTATTTTATTTTTCAATGGACAGGCATTCCAGCCTCTCAGTTCTTTTTGTTGAGTAGATCATCCTTTCTCCATATGGTGAAATGCCATTGCGTCACAAGCACTCACTGTATTTCATTTGGTTTCAGTTTTCTATTCTATGTTACTAGTCTACTGACTTTCCCCATGGCCAGTACCCCATTGGGCTAGTCACTGTAACATAGCATGTTTTCATATCTGGTATGCTTTATTCTTCTTTTCTTCAAAATATTATTGCACATTTTCTTTTCCAGGTGGGCTCCAAATCCTTTGGCAAGTTGCAAAAAATAAAGTGTCTGGTTGAGATTTTTGTAGTAATTACATTGAATTTATAAAGTGATTTGGAAAATACAGTCCCCTTTCCCCCCCTGCTATCCACGGTTTCACTTTCTAAGATTTCAGTTACCCGAAGTCAACTGTGGTCTAGAAAAAAAATTAAATAAAGTATTGCAGAAATACACAATTCTCAAGTTTTAAAGTGGACACCATTGTGAGTAGCATGATGAAATCTCCTGCTGTCTCGAGCTGTCAGCCCGGCCATGAGCCCTCTCTTCATCCAGCGTGTCCTCACTGTGTAGGCGACACACATGTCAGTCACTTCGCAGCCGTCCCAGTGATCAGATGGATTATCATATTTTGAGAGAGAGAGAAAGACCACATTCATATAATTTGTATTACAGTATATTGTTACAATTGGTCTATTTTATTGTAGGTATTCTTAATCTCTTACTGTACCTGACTTATAAATTAAATTTTATCACAGATAGGTACGTATAGGAAAAAACATAGTATATATAAGGTTTAATACTATTCATAGTTTCAAGCATCCCCTGGGGGGTGGGTCTTGAAAATATCCCCCGTGGATAAGGTGGGACAACTGTAACTGATTTTCTTAAATACTGAGTTTTTCTCTCCAAGAATATGGCATGAATCTCCATTTATTGTATTTCTCATAGAGGCATTTTGTAGTTTTCTAGTCGTCTTGTTGAATTTACCTTGAAGAGAAATCCAGCCAGTCTGCTTTTATTGTGTCCAGGTCTCATTCTTTCATTCTGTTTTTTAGTAGGTTACTACTGATATGGAGAGAAGCTTTTGGTTTTTCTTTTTTCTTTTCTTGGTTACCTTTTAAAACACTCTTATTAGTTCTCATCCCTTTTCAGTTGTTTCTCACGGATTTTCAGGGTAGAATATTACACAATCTTTAAATGAAAATGGTTTTTACTCTTTCTTTCTAATGACTATGCCATTGATTCCTTGGTTTTGTTGAGGATGTCTGCTACATTTTGGGGAAGTTATTGCTTGATGAATTAGGAAAGTTTCTATTCCTGTCTTGTTTCAGTGAGTATTTTTTAAAGTCAGGAATAGGAGTTGAATTTTATCAAATGTGTTTTGACGAGATTTATTGAAGTAATTTTTCCTTTAGTGATGGACATTTTTTCTAGTATTTCACTGTTTTTTTTTTGTTACAAACAATGCTGCAATGGACATAGTTGTGCGTATTGCTGAGCCTGTGTGCATATCTTTAGAATAAATCTCCAGGAATAGAATTTCTGGGACAAAGGCTGTATACATTTAACATTTCTACAGATATCAAATGCCCTCCACTAGCAGAGACAGGAGCACTCATTTCTCATGTCTTTGTTGAAGTAATGATTACTGAACTAGTCGCCAGTCTTTTGAGGGATAATGGTAGCTTATTGTTTTAATCTGTTACTGTAGCAAATATTAGGTTTTTGTTTTGTTTTGTTTTGTTTTGTTTTTTTGTATTTCTGGCATACAATCTTTATGGCCATAATCTGTTTGTTCTTTTAGACCATTGCCAAATTCTGTGTGTCATATTTTGTTTATAGTTTTTGCATTGCTCTTTGTAAATTCTCTGGTTTTAGGTATGTGCCTGTGTGTGTGCGTGTGCGTGTGTGTTTTGAAGCAGGGTTTTTGGTTAGCCTCATAGGTAATTTGGGAGCTTCTCTTTTTGTTTGCTTTTAGACAATGGCGCAGTGTGTACACTGCCTCTCCCTTAGAGGTATTCTGAAATACCTGTAAAGTGATCTGGGCCTAGTGCCTTTTTTTGCACACATCCTTGATTTCTTCTTAAATTTCTTTTGAGGTTATTGCTCTATTTGGATTTTCTACATCTCCTTGATTTGCTTTTGTTACTTTACATCTTCCCATTTTGTTTGATTTCCTCTTATGATTCAAACTAGTCTATGCATCTGTTGTTTTAGCCTCTTTTTTTTTTTTTTTTTTGGTTGGTTTGTTTAATTACATTCTTTTCCCTTTTGGATGGACTCACACGTGCAGTTAGTGGTGACCACTGCTCTAGATTCCAGGCACTGAGTACACACTGAGCAGGCAGTGGGGAACGTGACGGACAGATCCCTGTCTTCACTGCTCTAGATTCCAGGCACTGAGTACACACTGGGCAGGCAGTGGGGAACGTGACGGACAGATCCCTGTCTTCACTGCTCTAGATTCCAGGCACCGAGTACACACTGAGCAGGCAGTGGGGAACGTGACGGACAGATCCCTGTCTTCACTGCTCTAGATTCCAGGCACTGAGTACACACTGAGCAGGCAGTGGGGAACGTGACTGACAGATCCCTGTCTTCACTGCTCTAGATTCCAGGCACTGAGTACACACTGGGCAGGCAGTGGGGAACGTGACTGACAGATCCCTGTCTTCATGTGGCATGCTTTATAAATCTAATAGATCTGAGAAAACAAACAAATAAACAAAGCAAGACCTAACATTGAAATTTACTTGTATTGATCAAGTTTACTTCCCCCTCCTATTTCTTTACAATGAATTTTTATCTTTATTCATTTCTTTCTTGTATAAGTTAAATTTGTGGTACTCTTTCCCTAGCTTTTGATTTGAATGCTTAATTATTTTACCTTCAGTATTTATTATTTTTAAATAAGTAAGCATTAGGCTCTCCATTTTTCTCAGAGCATCGCTTGGCTGCATCCAGAAGAGGTCGCTGTGTGGTCCCCTCATGGTGCCTCATTTCCGCTGATTGGCTCATCTCCCTCCTTCCCCACTGCCCACACTGTTTCCCACTTTGTTTAGAGAGCCTTGCCCCTGATCTTTCTCTGAAGGTAAATGCTGCTGTTACTGTTCCCAGACAGGCCTTTAATTAATAATGTGTGTGGTTGTCCGTTCCGGTTCCCCATAGTCAGTGACTCTGAACTTGAAGTTACTCCAGAAGGCAGCTCTCACCTCTGCAGTAGCCTCTTCTCTGTCGATCTGGCATTGGAATTTTTCCATCATCCCGACCCTATTTGCTCTTTTTTTTTTTTTAATGTTTTTATTGATATTTTAGGGAGAGAGATAGAAACATCAATGTGATAGAGAAACATCCATCAGCTGCCTCCTGCACGCCCCCTACTGGGGATGGAGCCCGCAACCCGGGCATGTGCCCTGACCGGGAATCGAACCAGGACTCAGTCCATGGGACAACGCTCAATCCCCTGAGCCACACCGGCCGAGCTAGTTGCTCTTTCTCTTCCAGAAATTGCTCCCTTTCCTGGCTCACTCATGATGGTCCTTCCCATTTCTCAGTCCTCCTGTGGAATTCTTTTCCTTCTGTCTCTTCTCCATTGCACATGTGAGCGCCATCTAGAGTCTAGAGGGCTCTCGACTGGCTGGGGTGGGCCTCGTTGGGGGAACAAGAGCCGACGCAGAGGCAGGGATGTGGGAAGTCTCTGCCCAGATCATTTCCATCTGCTTTCCTTTGTTCCTCAGGTGAACTTTGGGCTCTTCGTCGGCATCATCTTCATCCTCGTGCAGAAACTTCAGTCTCCAGACATGGGAGGCAATGAGTCCAGCATCTACTTGTAAGTACCACGTGTGAATGTCATAGTCACTTCCAACAGCCGTGAGGGCCATGCGCTCAGGCCGCAGGAGGAGGGCCTGGGTTTGCGGACTGGGCAGCCAACCATGGGGCAAGATTCCTTTCTGATTAAAGTGCCTTTAAAATCTAGTTGCCCGCCTCTCCTCAGCCAACCCAGGAGCTCCCAACCACATGGTGATTACATAGAAGGGAAAAGAGAGAGAGCGGGGAAGAGACCGACAGACGACAGGTCACCCTAGGAAAATCAAGATGGACATTGCCTGATTCTCTAGGGTAGTTGAGGTCTTGGTGTGCAGGATTTCCTTTGGGGCTCTTGGTTCTTTGGGAAGCTCATGAACATCACTGGTGGCCTGACGTTCCCACCCCAGCCCAGTGTGTGCAGGTTGCTCCAGTCCCCACCAGTGAGTCCCCACCAGAGAGAACAGGGACGTTCTCTCCAGTCTGGGTAGTGGAATGGGGGAATACGTTTCTTCCCCTCCCCTCAGGGAAGCTCTACTTGGGGGTCTGGTCCTCCTCCTATAACTCCCTCTTCCCTGAGCAAAGGAATACCTGATATGTTTGGGATGATGGGGTTCGAAGGTGACCTCTTACCAGTGAGTGTAGGGTCTTCTTCACTTCTGCTGCCTTGTGCTTTGTCTCCTGTAAGTGTCCTGCGGTCATGTCTCCAACACTGACCCCTCTGTGCTCTGTCCCACCCCTCTCCCACCGAGTCCCTTCCACCTGACTCTTCTTGCTGCATGATCAGAAGCATGGCCAGCTGGGTGTGTGGGTGTGGGGGCACTTCTGATGCTGGGGCAGAAGGTCCGTCCCCTGTGGTTGGTTGGAGGGGCCAGATGGGCTCAGAGAGCCTGCGGGGAGTCTCTGGGGCCTGTCCGTGGGCAGGGTACAAGACACAGATGTTGCTTCCTCATTTTTCAAGAAGAGGGCAGGTTAGAAGGAGCTGAGATATTCTCATTGCATAAGTGGGGGCGTTGTCCTGCCTTCATCAGAGCCCCTAACCTGGGGCTCAGAACTTGAACAGCTGCCCGGTGGTCAGGTGGAGCAGCGAGACTCCAGCAGAGGGTTTCCCCACCCACCCATTCTCCTGGAGAGAGAGGCAGAAACTGTTCAGAAGCCCATCCTGGACCCTTCCCTAAGGCTGCTGGGGCTTCCCGTGGTCTGTGTGTTCAGCCGGGCACTGCTTGCTGCGGGAGCCCTTCCGCTGGGCTGGGGGAGCACAGAGCTCGGCTTGGTAAGCGTTGTTCTTTCTGCATGAGGACGATTCCTTTACTTGGAAAAGAACCCCTCCTGTTCAGTTATTCGCTTACATTTTTTTTCATACTTTTGCAAGTTTTATCAACCTTTATTTATTTGTGTATGTTATATAGACAAAAACTATTCATCCGTAATACGTCATTAAGGCTCCGAGGCCCTGCCCTGGGGGCCCAGTGGGACCTGTTCCCTGCAGTTAGCTGACTGCCCTAGAGACGTCATTCCTGCTTGGTGTCAGGGCCCCACTCCGCAGGGCCCTGCTGCTCTGCTCTCCTCGCCTCCCCGTCCAGATCACACACTGTGTCTTGTGTTGGCCCCATTCTCCTGCTTGAGGGCGGATTGGCTCCTACAAACAGTTATCTCAGGGGTCTGAAGCCGGTGCGGAGCTGTCAGCCTCATCTCGCCTCCGAGCGCTAGCAGCCTGGTCACCCCTCCCCCCTTTCTGTTAGCATCGGTTTCTTCTTCGAAGGCCTGGGACCTCGTCTCTGGGGGCTCTTCCAGCTCCCCTCACTCTTCCTGTGCAAAGACACCCAAGGCTCAGCCACACCCCAAATAGGACACTCTGCTGATGCCAAGACACACTTCACCAGCTCAGACATCCTGCCCCAGGTGGTCAGGGCTGCCAGGGTCTGATGGGAGAGAAGCTTGGGGCCAGATTTCTAAGCGATCACAGACTTGGGTCTGTGGAGCCCTATCAGGCCCTCCTACTGCCGAGATAAGAACCGTTGTAATCAGCACATGGTTCCTCCAGGCACAGTCCAGAGACATTGTGGGGTTGGCGCGATACCAGCACAGCAGAGTGAATATTGCAATAAAGTGAGTCGCACACTTGCTTGGTTTCCTAGTGCATAGGGAAGTTATGTTTACACTATACTGTAGTCCATTAAATGTGCAGTAGCAGTATGTCTAAAAAACAATGTAGATATCTGGGAGGTCTCCCCTCCCTACTGATGGCAGATGACTGGACAGGGTGGTGGCCGGGGCAGCTGTGGCAATTTCTTAAGATGCAGTGAAGTTTGGCACATGGATCGACTCTTATACACGTGATTTCTCTGTAGCATGGGATAGTATTTGATAGCATTATGCTTAAAGTAGAACGTCTGTCAAAATTGGACTCGGTCCTCTCCAACCCTGACACTGCCTTATCAACTAAGCTTATGTAATAGTCTAAATCCTTTGTTGTCCTTTCAATAATCTTTAGAACATCTTCACCAGGAATAGATTCCATCCCAAGAAACCACTTTCCTTGCTTATCCATGAGAAGCTACTCCTCATCCGATCAAGTGTTATCCTGAGACTACAGCAGTTCAGTCCCATTTCTGACTCCACTTCTCATTCTGGGTCTCTTCTGTTTCACCACCTCTGCAGGGACTTACCCCAGGGAAGTCTTGGCCCCTCAAAGTCATCCTGGAGGGTTGAAATCCACTTCTTCTAAACTTCTATTAATGTTGGTATTTGTTACCTCTGCCCATGAAACACCAGTGTTCTCAATGGCATTAGAATAGTGTATCTTTTCCAGAAAGTTTTCTGAGTTTTTTTTTTCCAGGTTAATCAGAGGAATCACTATGCATGGCAGCTGTAGCTATGAAATTTATTTCTTTGATCCTTGAGCTGCAGAAGGAACGTTGTGTCAGCAGGCATGAAAACAGCATAATCTCATTGTACATCTCCATCAGAGGTCTTGGGTGACCAGGTGCATTGTCAACGAGCAGTAATATTTCAAAAGGAATCTTTTTTTTTATGAGCAGTAAGCCTCAACAGTGGGCTTAAAACTTTTAGTACAACATGTTGTAAACAGATGTGCAGTTGTCCAGGCTTTGTTGTTCCACTTACAGAGCATAGGCAGAGTAGATTTAGCGTATTCTTAAGGACCCTGGGACTTTCAGGTGGTAAATGAACACTGGTTCGCTTAAAGTCACAGCTGCACCAGCCCCTCACAGGAGAGTCAGCCTGTCCTTTGAAGCCAGGCGCTGACTTCTCCTCTCTGGCTATGGAAGTCCTCGCTAGCATCTTCTTCCAAGAGATGCTGTTTCTCCCACACCGAAACCCCGTTGTTGAGTGTGGCCACTTTCGTCAGTTACCTGGCGGGGTGTCTGGGTAACGTGCTGCAGCTGCTACGTCAGCACCTGCTGCCTCACCTGCACTTGGAGGTTAGGGAGACGGCTCCTTTCCTTGCACCTCCTGGACCTGCCTCGGCCAGCTTCCGACTTTCCTTCTGCAGCCTCCTCACCTCGCTCAGCCTCCACGGAATCGAGGCGAGTTAGGGCCTTGCTCGGGACTAGGCTTTGGCTTAGGGGAATGTTGCTGCTGGTTTTAACTTCTCTCCAGACCACGGAAACTTCCACATCAGCAATAAGGCTGTTTCGTTTTCTTATCATTCATGTGTTTACTGGGAAGCACTTTCCTCTCCTTCAAGAACGTGTCCTTTGCGTGTACAGTGTGGCTATTTGGCACGAGAGGTGTAGCTTTAGGCCTGTCTCAGTTTTCAACATGCCTTTCTCACTAAGCTTACTCATTTCTAGCTTTTGACTTAAGTGAGAGATGTGTGACTCTTCCTTTCACTTGAACACTTGGAGGCCATTGTAGGGTTATTAATTAGCCACATTTCAATATTGTGTCTCAGGGAATAGGGAGGCCCGAGGAGAGGGAGAGAGACTGGGGAACGGCCAGTCGCTGGGGCCGTCAGAACTCACACATCTATCGATTACATGTCTTATCTGGTTTGTAGAGCCCCGAAACATTACAAAAGCAACATCAAAGATCACTCATCACAGATCACCATAACACATATAATAACGACACCAAAGTTTGAAATAGCTCAAGAATTACCAAAATGTGACAGACAGGAAGTAAGCAAATGCTAGTGGGAAAATGGTACCAATAGACTTGCTTGACACAGGGCTGCTACAAACCTTCAATTTGTGGGGAAAAAAGCAGTATCTGCGAAGTACAATGAAACAAGGTATGTCCGCACACTTGCACGCAGCTGTGTAAAGAGCCAGCCAATTGGTTGCTTCTATCGTGTGAAAACTCCCCTTCCTGTCTCCGTAAATCCTTTGTATAGAGAAAGGCAAAACGTGCTCAACTCAAGCCCCAAAGATTAAAACCTCGGATGGATATGGTCTGCCGGCTAGGGTGGGGAGGCTGACACAGGACAGGGGATCAGCTTGATCCTGTTACATTCAAGGACGTGTTTGAGGGTGTCCAGGGTCGGGGAGGCCCTGTTGGCGGGAGTGAGGGGACATCGCAGGGACAGTGCTGCTAAGAATGCAGAGTGTTGGAAAGCACCTGCAAGTCAGTCCATGCACATTTAATGCTAACGAACACCCAGAGGGTCTGGCGAGACAGGTGTTAAAACGTGTGTATGCAGAGTGTAACCCTGTTTGTCAGTGCAGGGAGCCAGTGGGCAGGGAGGTGCAGCCAGCCCAGTAGGAAGGCATGAGGCATAGCCTGCGGGCCGCCCTTGACTCCATGCTTGACCACACCATCGTTCCCGACCCCAGGGAATTTCCAGGCGAGAAGATGGTGTTAAGCAAGTATATGCGCAAGGCTGCCTGGAAGAAGAGGCCCCAGTGGGTTCCAGCCTGTGTAAAACTGCCCACCCGGAGGGTGTTGAGCTGCACGGTGTCTGCTGTGGGGGAGGGGAGACGATGGGGGCATTGGAAAGGGCAGGGTGTGGTGGGAGAGGATTTTAGGACTGTGCCTGAGTTTTCTTGGGCCACCAGAATTATGTGTTGGGCCGAGAAGACCTACAGATCTACCAACAGCTTTTTGGTTTTTTCCTCTGTTTCCAGAACAAACTTAAGCCTGGGAATCCCCAAGAAAGCCCGAGAGGACCCCCTGCCTGTGCCCTCAGACCAGCATTCACTCCCTTTCCTGTAGGTTGGCTCCAGCTGCTCAGATGCTAAGGGTTTGTCCTCCGTAGACGAGACAGCGCTCCCGACCCAGCTCAGAAGGACCTGCTGGGGGCTGGGCAGTGGCGCTGAGCCACCCACACTCCCTCAGCCGGTGCTCCTGGTACAATGCTTCTCTGGGGCCAGGCCTTGGGCGTGGAGTGTGGGCCTGTGTCAGGGCTCAGCACGTGCTCAGCTCAAGTGGGTCTTGGGGAGGGGTTAGAGCGCAGCCCGGGGCTGGGTCAGGGTTAGCCTGCCTTTTCCTGGGGACCAGGGTTACCTCTGAGAAGCCAGCTGACTCAGAATGGGGGGGGGGGGGCTCCAGGGTAGACTCGGCCTGGCCCTGCACAGACTGGCTGTATTCCCAGTGGTCTTCCTGGGAAGACCCGCACTGGCTGCTGCCTCTTGGGTCTGGTGTGGGGGAGGGAAACCCCATCCGATCCCCCTCGGACCCCACAGAGGGGTCTCCATGGTCCCCAGGGCAGAGGAAGGCGAGAACTGACACTGATGTCATAGCTGGCTCAGCAGGGCCGTATGTGCCCAGTGTCAGGACGACACTCACCTCTGAAGACAGGCACTCCCGTGGCTGGGCCGGAGGGCGCCAGGAAGCTTCATTCGGGAACTGACACCTCCTAATGCTTCTGGTTCACCTGGGGCTCCACCTTCCACTTCTGAAGCACCCTCTCCCCTGCCTAGGAGCACCCCATCCTCCCAGCCCCTGTTAGGGATTGGCGGCAGGGAATGGTTACCCCCATGCTGCAGATAGAGAAATGGAGGCCCAGAGAAGGAAAGTGGTATCACCCAAGATCGTCCAGCAAGTCAATGGCCAATCTGAGCCTTGAGCTCAGGCGCCCCATCCCCCAGGCTGGGCTTCTGATGGGGGTACCAATGTGGTGTGGAGTACCTCCCTGGGGACTGGGTTGGGTTCTGGGGGTTCACGGCATCTTAGCCTCAGGAGGGAGTCTATAATGTTCAGCCGAGACCATGATATCCTGTGGCTTGTCACATCCAATGCTACACTGATCACCAGGGTCAGGGTGACTAGACGGGTGGGACCCACAGAGGTCTCCCTGCAGGGGTTTCTGTCTTGCATCTGGCAGGTGTTTCCTAGGGCTCCAGCCGCGTAGCCTGGCACACGAGGGGCACTAAAGCATTCGTGGAGTTTGGCCTGAGACCACAGCAGGGGCCCAAGAGACCAGGTGCTGCATCCCTGGGTAACATGCGGCAGTGCCAAGACCTGGAAATGGCTTTGGCCTTCCTGCAGACAAGCAGCAGAGCCTTGGCAGGACGAGGCCCAGGAGCCAGGGCACGCTGACTTCCTGCTCCGGCATCGCCCCTGTGCACGGGCTGGCGCTGCTCACCAAGCAGCCCCCACCCAGCACTCTTATCTGAGTCTCTTTATCTTCCCTTGGATGCAAATCGGAACTGAGCTCATCCGCCAGCCTGGCTCTATCTCTTCCTCCTGATTAAATTCCTTTTCCCTCTTCCCCCAGCTGTTGTGACTTCCAGAGAACCTGACATCTCTCCCTTTCTCATGCCTGTCTCCGGCTTGACTGGCACTCCCTGTGCTGCTTTTCAGTGGGTGCTTTTGCACAGAGTCATTGAAGACTTGGGGGGAGGGGAGTGTTTGGGGAGAAGAGCCCTCACCTGTCCCTGGATCCCTGTCCTGAGAGCCCTCCTTGCCCCGCGTCCTGCCCCCCACCCAGGCCCCCTTGTAGGCACACATGTTTACCAGGGGCCGTTTCCGGCTGACTTGCCCCCGAGTGGCCTTGCGCCCCCTTTGCAGAAATCAGAGGAGCCTGTTTTGACCCTTCCCAGGGCCCGGGAAGGGCAGGGATGTTTGAGAGCTCTGGGTGGAGAGGCCTCGAAGGAGAACAGCTGAGGGTTAGGGTTCTGCGTGAGGGCTCAGGCCACTGTGCAGCCGAGGCTCGGGCCCTCGGGCTCCCGGACCCGGATTTCTGGGCCTCACACGGGCCCAGGCTGAGGATCAGGCCCTGACCGTAGGAGAGGCGCGTCCCTTTCAGGCTGGGCAAGGTCGGAAGTAACCGGAAGACTAGGAGAGCTTTCGTCCCTGAACACCCAGCGAAGCTCTTTTGAATTACATGTGTGTATGTGTACGTAATTTAAAGAACGACGTACTATTAGTGTCCACCTGTCCCTTTGTACGTAGACGGAGTGTGAAGCAGACCTGTGACATTCACTGAGGACACATGAGGGAAACTCTCAAATACGTGACTTGGTCTACACAGGCTTCACCCGGGGGTCTGGTTCAAGCGCAGGTTCCGAACCAGTGGGTCTGGGTGGCACCTGAGTTCCGCTTTCCGAGAAGCTGGCGGACGCGGCTGGCCCAGAGCGAGGCCCCTCGTCTATGACGTGGGCCGGTCCCCCCCTCAGCACGGCGGGATTGAAAGGTGCTGTTTAGTCCATGGGAACCGTAGCCCCTGCTGAGGCTCCGATGCTGGGCGCACCTCGGCGTGTCCCACCTTCGAAATGTGTGATTCACATTGAAATGTTCGCCTCAGCGAAAGGACGCACCCACGCCCAAGACCCTAGACATGCTCCCCGAGCTGAATCTGTCAGGCGTTTCTGTTCTCTGAGTCAGACCTCGGATGGGGCAGGTGACCGCCACTCCGGACCTCGGGCCACATGCCGCCTGAGGACGGTTTGCGACGCGGAAACTGCAGATGACATGCTATGGCTCTCGGTCCCGCTCACGTTTGTCAGAGAAGGACAGAGGTGTCCGTGGCCCGGGCCATAGGCAGGACCGAGAAGGACTAGAAGGGGAGATGCAGCCTGAGCCTCTGTGAGGGCGGAAGCTCTGGCGAGCTGGACAGGCGCCTGGGCCCGCGAGGGCGTGCCCCTCGGACGACTCGTTTCCGCAGGCAGTGGGACGGTGCCCAGAAGGTGCCCCTAGCCCCCAGCCCCCGCCCGTGGAACTCCTCGGGGGAATCTGCCTGCCCTGTGCCGGGCGCCTGTGCGCTCAGCGTGGTGGGAATGCCCCCCATCTGCTGTCCCACGTGGGACCCGCCGGCCACATGTAGCTGTCGACTCCTTGCCATGTGGCCAAAGCCAGTGAGGAAGCAGTTCCAGTTTGACGTAGTTTTCACGCACATAGCCGCGGATGGGTGGATCGGGTCGAGACTGACAGTGTCTTCCCCCCAGGCTCCCTGTTCCGCGTGCGCCCAGGGCCCTGGGGCCGAGGCAGGGGAAGGCTCAGCGGAAGAAGAGAGGTGGGGAGGGGGGACCCCTCTACATAATCCAGTGCACAGCTGGCCTGATTCCAGGCTCGGTCCGCCAAGGCCGGGCGCCGTGGGCCGTGGTGTTTCCAGTCGCGTTGCCCTGGGCGACCCCGACAAGGCCATGGAGCTGACTCTGGAGACAGCTGCCAGCTCCTGAGACCCAGCCCAGGCCCACCTTCCGCACACACGTGTTCTCTCCAAACCCGCCCCCACGCCGGTGGTCCCAGAGTGAGTGTGTGTGCATGTCCATGAACAGACGCGTACACGTATGGGCGTGTGTTCTCGTGTCCAGAGCTGACCCTGTCTTGGCCCTCGGCTTCCTCATTCTCCATGTCACCGCCTGGTCCCGTGTCCACTCCCGGCTCTCGGTCCCACCTCAGTCCCTCCCCTGCCCGCGGCCCCGCTGACGGAAGTGCTGATCTTGTCCCACCCAGCAGCTGCGTGCAGAAATGCTACTGCAGGCCAGAGCGGGCTCAGCAGCACTCCTGCAAGATGTCAGAACTGTCCACCATTACTCTGTAAGTGTGCGTGGCTGTGGCCCGTGTCCGGGAGGGGGGGCGCATGCCGCCGCCTGAGCCTGCGTCCTGCGCGGGGCTGGAGGAGAGAGCCCCGCCCGAGCCCCTTCCTGGCTGTTGCATGTTGACGTCTGTGTCTTGTGAGTTCTCTGCAACCTCGCGGGCGGGAGGGGCGCCGTGGGGACCGGGCTGCAGCCGCTGAGGGAGCCGCCAGGGCTTGGCTGGTGCTGAGGAAGGGCCTGGAAGCTTTGGCACTGCTGCCTCGATGTGTGGTCTTCCCAGTGTCCTACTTCTCCGGGTCCAGGCTTCGGAACTGCCAGACTGTCTGCTGGTCTCAGAGCTTGGGGTCACACAGTGTGTCCCCCCCCCGGCCCGGCGCCCTGGCTGCCCGGGCCCCACTCACACTCACGGGCCGTCGGCTCACTCAGTCCCGTCACAGCCCTGGGAGGCGGGTGCTCGTTGTACCCCACTCCCCAGCTGTGGGGACCGAAGCACAGAGAGGTGAACAGGTCACATAATTGGCAGGGTGAGGATCCGAACCAGGGAGTCCTGTCACCCGACCCCAGCGTGTCCCTGACGGAGCAGCCGCCTCATTTGGACATCCCTTTAGGGGGGGGGGTGGTCGCCTTGGACTGTTGGAAGCTTTTCTTAGAATTTTCTTAGGACTTCTCTGCCACAGATGCCTCCTCGGAGCAGGGGACAGACACCAGGGCCTGAGTCACTGTCTCTGGGCCCTGGTGACCTCCTCATGTGCCTCCACCCAGTTCCTCACCTGCCACAGGGGTCACGGGGGTGCCCTGGGTCAGTGGCAGAAGTCCCCGCCAGAGGGCAGGTGGCATGCTGGGACTGGGCGGTGGGACACCCTGACACCAGTCGCCACACCTGCCAGGGGCCGGGCCGGGCCGGAGCCCATGCCTGAGAGGTCACTGTTTCTCACACCAACCCCATGCCGCCTGCTGCCGCCACAGACGCTAGAGAGGTCTGGCCCTTTGGTGCCTGGGGCATTTCTCAAACTTCAGGACACGTCTCTGGAAACAGGCCCATTTGTGGGAGGGCGGAGGGGAGGGACCGTAGCATGGCCCAGGGCCACCGTCCCCGGAGCCCCCTCAGTTAAGCTGCTCTTGAAAGTAGGGTCACAGAGGGGCCCCCAAGAGGATCACGTGCTGGCCTTTCCAGGCCACTTGCCTGTTCTTTCAACATGTTTATTCTTTAGCCAACACTTCCTGCGGGGGCCAGGCTCTGGGGCCAGGAGGTGAGCAGGGCCCGAGTGCCAGTGACCTTCAGATGGAAGGACTCTGAACCTTTCATGCCAGGCCTGTGCGGCCTGGCGAGTCCTGCGTGGACAGGTGCTTCCTGAGCGTGACCACTGCAGCACTGTGCCTGGGCTCCGCGTGGGCGCCCGCTCACATCCTGTCGGCACCAGCCCTGGCCCAGGGACCCCAGGTCTTGCAGAGCAGGCTGCCCATGAGCAGGGAGACAGTGGGTGGGCGCCCAGCCCTCCAGGGGCTTCTTCCTTCCAGGCGCGAGCCCTGGTCCACATGCAGGTCTCCCTAGGTTACTCCTCCCTTTTTTCGGTATCCCCTCCCTTCCTTCCTTCCTTCCTTCCTTCCTTCCTTCCTCCCTTCCTCCCTTCCTTCCTTCCTTCCTTCCTTCCTTCCTTCCTTCCTTCCTTCCTTCCTTCCTTCCTTCCTCTTCGCCTCCCTTCCTCCTTCCCTCTGGAAGCCAAGGGCCTCGCTCTGACTCCAGGGTTTGCTTCTGAGACCCAGAGCCCAGATTCAACAGAACTTTCTCCCCAAGAAAAGCTGGATAGGGAAGGGGGCGGGGCACACGGTGTGGCTGCCCCGAATCCGATGGCACCCCCACGCCCTGCTGCCCACCTGGTGGCCCAAGGGCTGCAGGGAGACGGGGAGGCTGAGCCTCGCACCCCGCCCAGCTCCGGGGGCCCAGGGAGACCACACCCCAGGGCAGGCCTCGGTGAGGAGGTTCAGAGGGAGTCAGTATGCTGGGGTGGGCGGATGGGGGTCCCATGTTTGGAGACCCTCTGGGAGCCCGCTCTTCGCAGAGAGGGCCCGCCCTCAGAACAGAGCCCTCCCGCCAGGTGAGGAGGCCGGGCAGGCAGGGGACCTGCCGAGAGCTGGCTTTGGGGACCAGAGGCCCTTTGGCTCTCTCCTCCCTGCCCCCGATCCCCTGCAGATGGCATTCTCTCTGACTCCGTTTCCTGGGTGGCAGGTTCCTCCTGCTTGGATGGGAATCATTCACGCCCACAGGCCGTCAGTGCTTCTAGGATCCGCCCACGTCTCTCCTGTGGTCCACTGGTCGTGCCCCCACCCACCCCCCTGCTGTCCGCACCTCCCTGTCACTCTCCATGAGTGTCCCTGGCTCGCCCAGCTCAGGAACACAGCTGTCTGGGCCCCGAGGGCTGCGCTCTTCAGGCCCACGCAGCCCCCTCTGGGGCAGGAACCCGCCACACGGTCACCCCAGCCTTCTGTGTCCCACCTCTGACCTTTGCCTCGACCTCACGGTCCCCCTGAGGGGTATCTGTAAATTACGTACATGCGCACGTTGCCTGGGATACCGATGTGGCCGAGAGGGACAGAAGCCCTGCAGACTGTCCCCAGGACCACCCAGGGAGCTCCGGGGCCCAGGCACTGTTGGCCACCGCCCCTCCCAGGCCCCAGGGACTTGGGAGAACTCTGAGGGGTCCATGGACAGGGCTCGCCTGGGGGAGAGGAAGGGCTGGGGCGGGTTCCCTGCCCTCCGTGGCTCTGGCCCAAGCGCTGGTGGCCCTGGAGCAGATGCCGTGTCCTCTCCTTGCAGGCGGCTGGCCCGGTCCACCCTGCTGCTCATCCCGCTGTTTGGAATCCACTACACGGTGTTCGCCTTCTCCCCGGAGAACGTCAGCAAGAGGGAGAGACTGGTGTTTGAGCTGGGCCTGGGCTCCTTCCAGGTACGTGCGGGGGCAGAACTCTCAGGGATTCAGGGCCCTCGCCCTAACCTGCTGGGGTCTAGAAACTGGACCTCTGTGTTTCCACCTCTGAAATAAGAGCACTAGACTAGAAGGGAGCTGGGAGAGCCCTTTCTGCTGCCTGAGGATCCTGTGAGAACACACTGAGGTCTGCCTGTCGCGGTGTGTGGGACCCCTGAGCCAGGCCTCTCTTGGGCCATCTAAGACGATAGCTCCCCATCCCTCACTGGTGGCTCTGCGTGTACATGGAGTGGCCTCAAGAGACCCCTCTGTCCACGCCCTGGCTCCAGGCTGTAGGCCACGCACCCCCTGAGCCCCGGAGCTCTCTGTCCACGCCCTGGCTCCAGGCTGTAGACCACGCACCCCCTGAGCCCCGGAGCTCTCTGTCCACGTCCTGGCTCCAGGCTGTAGGCCACACCCCCCCTGAGCCCCGGAGCTCTCTGTCCACGCCCTGGCTCCAGGCTGTAGGCCACGCACCCCCTGAGCCCCGGAGCTCTCTGTCCACGCCCTGGCTCCAGGCTGTAGGCCACACCCCCCCCGAGCCCCGGAGCTCTCTGTCCACGCCCTGGCTCCAGGCTGTAGGCCACACCCCCCCTGAGCCCCGGAGCTCTCTGTCCACGCCCTGGCTCCAGGCTGTAGGCCACACCCCCCCGAGCCCCGGAGCTCTCTGTCCACGCCCTGGCTCCAGGCTGTAGGCCACGCACCCCCTGAGCCCCGGAGCTCTCTGTCCACGCCCTGGCTCCAGGCTGTAGGCCACGCACCCCCTGAACCCCGGAGCTCTCTGTCCACGCCCTGGCTCCAGGCTGTAGGCCACGCACCCCCTGAGCCCTGGACCTCTCTGTCCACGCCCTGGCTCCAGGCTGTAGGCCACGCACCCCCTGAGCCCCGGAGCTCTCTGTCCATGCCCTGGCTCCAGGCTGTAGGCCAGGCACCCCGTGCAGGCTGGAGGTCTGTCTGCCCGAGCCAGGGCCCCAGTACAGGGCCGGGCCGCGGAGTGCTGTGTGAGTGGCACTGGTGCACGAGCATGCGGACATACAAGTAAACGGCCCACGGGAGAGTGATGACTAGTGACAGCGTGTGCAGGAATAGGCAGGTGCGTCGTGAACAAGTGCGCGAAGGAGAGCTGGTGCCACAGGCACAACGCGTGAACGGGCACATGCGTGGGTCCTGAAGGCAGGTGACAGCACCTGTCCTGAACCCAACCTTTTAAACACGATTTGACCTTGAGGGTCGGAAAGTTCCTCTGTGCATCTGACTTGAGTCTCTCCTTCCCCTCATTTTAATTCTTAGCCTGACGAGGCTGTGAGTTATACAGACAAAGCCCCAGCCTGGGGGTCAGAGCCCGGGTTCCTGTCTCAGCACCAGAGACCTGAGTGCAAAGGTCACACATGAAAAATACAGCGGGTGGCTGAGCCCGCGCCCTGTGCCAGCCACGGCCTCACGCGGTGCTCGAGTGTGCTCTGCCCAAGAGCACCTGCTTGGGGGGAGGGTGGGGTAACACAGGGCCGTGCTGTCCGGGAGGGGCTGCCCTCCGGAGGCCTGCAGGCTGGTGGGGGAACCCCGAGAACATTCTGGGGCACTCAGGGGAGGTCTCTGGTAGGAAGAGGGGTAGAGCTGGCCGTTGGGAATGGGAGGGATTTGACCAAGGAAAGGCTCCGAAGCCAGGGGTGTCAGTGGGGGGACTCTCGTCAGCCACTTGGCTCCATGGCTGTGGCCATCTGAGCAGAACCAGCCCATCTTACCCCAGAGTCCTGGGCGGTGCCCCATCCAAAGGATCCCATGTGTCTGCTTCCCGCAACAGTCTTCCCTGCCCCACCTCCCCACCCTGCGGAGGTTCCTGGCCAGCCTGCTCAGTGCTCTGCTCTCTCCGCAGGGCTTTGTGGTGGCTGTTCTCTACTGCTTCCTGAATGGGGAGGTAAGACCCTGCCCTCTGGCTTTCCAGCAGGGGGGTGGGGGGCGGCTTGCTGGGTCAGGGAGGGGTGTGCCTGTCAGGGCTTGTAATCAGACCGGGGCTCTCCCGGACTCTCAGAGCCTCCGGGTGTGTGGGGGGGGTATGGTGCCAGGCTCCCCTGACAGCCTCCACCCCCACCCCCTGGTGCCAGAGTCTTTCCTGCTTTGTCTGTCGTGTAGCCACGGCCCGGCCTCTGGTGCGGAGCCTCCTCACCATAAAGGCATCAGCTGGGGAGTGGGGCCCGCCTGGGCGGGCTCTCGACATAAGAGATTCCTTAGTCAGGAAGAGGGGACGTGAGGACAGGCAGGCACAGGAAGTGGTGCCCGGGGCTCACCAGGCTGCGCTGGGCGGGGCGCTGAGCGGGGAGCCTGCCCAAACCCAGCCCCTGTAGACAGGGGACTGGGGACGTGGCAGAGACCACGGGGAGAGGCCTGGAACCTTCTGGCAATGCTTCCCTTCCCGTGCTGTGCTCTTGGGGCCTCCAGATCCAACCAGTCAGGATGGTGCTTTGAGCAGAGCCCAGAGGTGCTGAGGCGGGGCTGGTGGGGGTGGCTTGGGGCGTGGACAGGAGTCCTGCAGCAGAGCTCCGGTCCTGCTGAGCCCGGGCCAGGCCTCGGCATTGCTGCACATGAGAAATGAGAGGACTGGGCTCGTGGGCTCCAAGACCCCCTGCAGAGAGGTCAGACAAGGGTGGACCGGGAGGCAGGTGGGAGACGGTGTGGGAGGGCACGGGGCATCCCATGGATGCTTGGGCGGGGGAGCTGGAGCTGGAGGGGCGGGTGCCCGCAAGGTGCCATCTGGGCAGTCCACGCACTGCACCGAGGTGCTGGACCGAGGGGTGCCCAGGCCGAAAGGGGGCGTGCCCCGCACACGCCACCCTGAGAGCCGGGCTGTGTTCGCCCAGAGGGCTGCACTGTTTGGTGGTTCTCCACCGGCCTGCATGCTGGAGCCCCTGGGAGCGGTCAGACAGGCCGAGGCCTCCCCGGAGGCTGGTGTGATTGCTGTGGGCACGGTCTGCGGTCAGGGGTCTTCAAGTTCTCCGGTGCGTCTGACTGTGGGTGGTCCGCCAGGATGGGCTCCTTGCCGCCGTCGGTCTGCCCCCAGGCCCGCTTTGTCAGGCTTCTCTGAGGGCCCGATGGGCTCGTCTGACTGTGGACACGGGAGGCCACGGCCCCAGGAAGCCAGTAGCGGGCTGGCTCAGACAGTGCCAGGGGCCAGGGGCTGCGGGCGGTCCTCACGGGGATTTCCTTCCCTCTGGGGCGCCAGCTGCAGTGTGGGAGCAGGCGAAGTGCCGTGAGGGTGTCCGTGCCAGTCTGGAAGGGCCCGGGGGGAGGCAGGTGGCGGTCGGAGAGGGGTCCCTCCGGAGGTGACCGCGTGCTGCTCCCTCAGGTGCAGGCGGAGATCAAGCGTAAGTGGCGGAGCTGGAAGGTGAACCGTTACTTCGCCGTGGACTTCAAGCACCGGCACCCGTCCCTGGCCAGCAGCGGGGTGAACGGGGGCACCCAGCTCTCCATCCTGAGCAAGAGCAGCTCCCAGATCCGCATGTCTGGCCTCCCTGCCGACAACCTGGCCACCTGAACCCCTTCCCTTGTCCACGCAGGCCGGGGCTGCCGGCGCAGGCCGGCCACGCATGTTTGCCTCTTTTCTCCCTTCGGGCAGGCCCTGGGCTGGGCGCTGGGCTCCCCGAGGGGGGAGAAGGACGTAGGTGCAGATGGGTATCCCCCCTCTTCCCATTTTGGCGCTGGCCCCACCCACCACAGACCCCTGGGCCCTGACCCCAGACATGTAAATACTCCCTAAATCTGGAAAAGTCATTCCATCCTTCGTCCAGTGTCCCTGCCCACCTCAAGCAGGTCCCAGGTCCACCTGCCCCATCTCCACCAGCCTCCGTGATCACCTGACCTGGTCGTGAAGCTGACAACCTTGCTTTGGGGGTTCGGGTGGGGCCTGCCTGACGGCCTCCCAAAGTGTCTGACCCTCAGTGCGGACTCCTGGAGCCTGCTGGCCACCTGGGCCCTTCTCAGGCTGGCCCAGTCCCCATGGCCAGCTGGAGGTGCAGCTTGGATGACAGTCCTTCAGCGCCGGCCAGATGTGGAGTGTCCTCGCGCTCACCCAGCACCGTGCCGTCCAGGTGCCCGGCTCCTGGGTGTCAGGGCAGTGGGCCCCTCTGGGGCTCCTCCAGTCTGAGACTGCGGTTTGGGTATAGGGCTAAAAGGTCAGGGGGTGTTCTGGTGCTTTTCATTTGGCCCAAGAAAAATTGATGGGACTAGAAACGTGGACGTGGTCGGGAAGGAGACGGAAAGAGAGTGGAAGGACTCGAGAAGACCTCACCGTTCCATTATTGTACCCTGACTCGCGGTGGGCAAGGGTTCGTCTGGCAGCCTCTCTCCGGCCCCTCCGGCCCCTCCCGCCCTGGCATCAGCTGTGGAAGGGAGAGATGGATGCCTCAGAAAAGCTGCTCCCCAGCCACACCTCCCACGTAGAACCCCAAGTCCTCCCTGGCTCCTCACTTCCCCAACGTCAAAGCCATGACTAGGATGGACTGGATGCCTTCCTGTGATGTCAGTGAGTCTGAGCACCTTAGACCTCCGTGGGTCCAATTCCAGGGCCCAGCCCCCCCCCCCCCCCCCCCCCCCCGCGAGGAAGAGCCCCAGCCACCAGCTCCTTGGGCGGGGACTCGGCTGCTGAAATCTCTCTGAGACCCGTGCAAAGAACTCACCGTGTGTGCTCTTGCCATTGAGTCACCACGGAGGGACCCTGAGGTGTCTTAGATGCTGAAGGGGAAGCCACACCCACCAGGCTGGTGGCTGGCTCCCCACAGCCTGAGAATGAAGTGGGCCAGGTTCAGGGAGGGGGAGGCAAGTGCTTGAGGGCCAGGGCCACGCGGGGCGGCTTTGTGCCCCGTCAGCCTTTGGTGTCCCGTCCAAGGGTGTTTGTGGATTGGTTCGTGACCGTGCTCTGAAATGCTTGTGCAGTCTGGGTGGAGGGTGAATGTTGCTTTGCCTGGTTTGAGGAGGAAGGGCCTGGGGCTGGCGGATCTGTCCGTTTCTGGAGAGGCCTTCGCAGGGACTGGAGGAGGGCTCAGCGGCGGGGGTTCGAGCTGAGGCCCTGCGCCTTGGCAGAGCCGGAGGGGGAAGGGGCTGCCTGCCATGTCCTGGGCACATGTGGGACTCGGGCTGGCCGCGGGGTGTGCTGTGGGCCTTCCACCTGGCACCTGGCCTCGTGACACCCTCCCCACCCCTTTTCTGGGAGACAAGTGCGTTGCCTAAGTGGATTCCATCGGCCACCTTGCACTCCGGGGCCCGCTGAGGGGCCGGAGATGCTTGGAAGGGGCCCCAGGCTGGGATTCGGACAAAGGATCTGCCCATGTCAGGCTTAGACGGCTGAGGCTGTGGCCAGAGCGCGCCCGGTCTGGGCCTCAGTTTCCCCATTTGTGAGATGAGGGGACTTCGGATGCTCAGCCAGGCTCTGTGCTTGAGTAATTCTCAGTTCAAGTCGAAAGCGGGGGAAGGGTGTGTGCTTCCCTGTGTGTGCAGCACCACGGCCTTGATGTGCAGTTTGTACGTGTTGGGGGGCGGTGCTGTTTATTCTTGGAAATGGAACATCGGTCTCTTTCACTTGAGGCCACAGTGGAAGCTGGTGGGCCAGAGGGAAGGGTCGGGCCAGGGACGCCTGGACGGCGCCTTGGGCATGATGTGGGGCAGGGTCACCTTCCGATCCCGAGTGGTCCCCTGAGCATCCCCGCCCCCACCCGGAGGTCTGCTTCACTGTGGAAAGAGGCTTTGACTTTATATATAGCTCATCACAAACCAGCCCCGAGTTCCATGTGCTGCTGCCTGAGCCCGGGGCCTGGGTCCTCGTCGAAGTTCCAGGTTCCGATTGGTTTGTCGCTTTGTTTTCCTCTCTGAGCCAACTGTTGCCAGTCTTGTGAGCAGATGTCCCTGCTGTATTTTTAATGTCCCAGGAGGTTAGGCAGCTGGCCTTCGGGGTCACAGGCAGTGGGAGGGGAGCCTGAGGTCCAGGTAAAACCTTTCCGTCTCTGATCCTCTGTTTCCAAATCTGTAAAATGGGCAGTAAGCCTAGATGATTGGTCCAGCCCACAGCATTTCCGGGTTCTCTGTCTAAACACCGGTCATCTCCTGGGAATGGGCCTGGGCAAGGATTTCAGTATTTGCCTGGTCTGGACAAGGATAAGAAACCACACTGAGTGAGGGGTGAGGATCTTGGGGGTGGTTAGACTGTTCCCTCCCCAGCAGGAGAGCGAGGAGAGGCTGAGCCCACTGGCCCCTCCAGGCCACTCCAGAGTGAAAGCAGAGGACACTTTGTCACCGTAACTTCCACTGGGGCCTCATGACCACGGACGCGCAGGGAGCCCTGAGCAGGAGCGGGGACCTGGGTCTCTGCCGGCTTTGCCACTGGCCTGCTGTTGGCCTGGACTCCTTCCCCGTGTAGTTTGGGGAGACTGTTCACAAAGTACAAGAGCTGGAAAAAACGTGGAGATCCGCAGGTCAAAATTCCCCGCTGGGCTGATGGAAAAACCGGTGGGCCGAGCCCGGTGCCTGCCGCAGGCCGGGATCCAGCACGCTGTCCGGGTTCGTGGGAGGATATGGGCGTAGACATGTGCCCGGCCCTGCACGTGAGCCCCGACGAGACCCTCGGCGAAGCTTCAATTCAGAAAACGTTCAGCCTCGCGCGGGACAGGCTCTGGCTCAGGAAGTACGGGAGGAGGGACGGGCACGTGATGTGGGGAGACCTGCTGTGCTGGGCTTCACCCCTGCCCTGCGCTCCGAGGCCGAACCTCTCTGGGCCGCTGCTTCCTAATTTGAGAAATGAGGGGTGGGGGGTGATTTTTGTTCTGACCCACGGGACCGGGAGGAGCTGAAGGGAGACACCCTGTGTGATAAAGGGCTTTGATAACCACACAGGTGTAGGAATGGCTGTTGGGGCAGAGACCCCTGAAAGGTTCCCGGTGCTGTTTGTCAACTGCTTTGAGCCCTCCTGGGTGACCTTTGTTCCACTTGTAAAAACCACCAGCATGGGGGAGGGGGGGAGAGGCGGAGGCCAGGGGCTCCGATGGACACGGAATTCCAGGCTTATCTCCATCCACTGATTCAGTTTGCTCTTGGGTTAGGATAAGGAGACTTCCTCGTGGGTGATGTCGGATCCCCTGGCACTTCCGTGGAAATCCTTCAGCAATCTGGGACATCCCTCGAGTGGGCCCAGGGCCCATCCCTTCTCCTTGCCTTGAACTGCAGTCCTGGGATGTGTCTGTGCTTGGCCGTGTGTATCTTGTCTTGTGTCCGTCTGCTGTGGCTTTGCCCTGTGCGGGCCAGAGTGGGACCACCCCTGGCACCCCAGATGTGGCTCCAGGTCCCCTGTGGGAGCCGGGCCAACCTGGGTGTCCTCTCCCACAGTAAAGACCACCCCACAGACCTCCCTGCTACTGCCGCCACAATTAATGCTCACAACCTTGTCTGGATTTTAACGATGTCAAATTGCTGTAGATGACTCAATAAATGTCTTATCATTTTTTTCCTGGTGGCTGTAACTTGCCAGTCGTATCACAAAATCCCGAAATAGCAAATGTCCGCTGTGGCCGGCCCGAGCCAGGGCAGAGCCAGCTCCCTCGGTGACCTCTGGAGTGTGTCACTGGGAAGATGGCTCGGCCGTCCTGCAGCCCGGAAGGCCATCCCCCAAGCGCACCTGCATCTCATGGCGGGCTCTGCTGCAGCACGGGCTCGGGGAAGCGAGAGAAGGCAAATGACTTCTCTTTCTGGTTAAGTCCTTTCTTTCCAGAAGCCTCACACTTGCCCCCGGCTCAGTGGCCCTGCCCCCCTAGGCACACTGGAAAGGGAGAGGGTTCGGCCTGGCGAACAGTAGTTTGTGCCACAGTCTCAGGCGCCAGGTCTTTGAGGGTTTGGGGGGGTCACTGGGCTCACCCACCCCTGTGAGGAACCAGAGGCTGAGCGACCCCAAGGATGTTCCCCCTACCACCTTGGGAACACACAGGGATGTGGTCTCCATGCTGAACCACAGAATCAGTCCGGAGGGTCCTCAGTGGGAACTGAGGGAAGGGCTTGTGCCTCCGCATTGGCAGCCACTGGGGTGAGGGTGAGCGAGAGTGTGCACCCTGCTCTCCTGCTTCCTGCTCCCTCACAACCGTGCGTCCTGAGTGCCTTCTGCGCCCTCGTGGCTTCCACAGCATTTCATCTCGGTTTAATTTGGGAGATTATCAGAGTACTGATGTAGCTCACCCCACCCTCCTTTTTGTTTTTTAATTTCTGTCCTCAAGTGACCTCAATTCAGATGCTTCTGAGCCTTCAACTTTGTTAGACTGCCCCCTGGTGGATGCCCACGGCAACGTCCTTCCGGCCTGAACCTCGAGCTGGCTCCCCACCCTCACCCCGCGTCCTGAAGGCAGAGGTTAGGATTCCACCCGTGAAACTCGGTCACCAAGAGCTCGTCTAACTTTCAGGTTGTAGTCCTGTAAGGCTAAACGGGACCGTTTTTCTTGGCCTCCGAAATACTTGTTTCCTAAAAGTCTACAAAGGAGAGGCTGAGAGGTATCACTCTTACTGGACAAGGGATGGTGGCAAGAAGGGAGGTGCCTTTCACATGCTCATTCAGCAGCTACTTGCTGAGCAGCTAAGTCCTCGCTGGTCTAATATTGCTCGAGTGCCTGCCATGTGAGCCTCGGGGGCCAGAGTCCTGCTCTCAGGAGCTGACCCTCTGAGTAGCAAAGGCAAGAAACGAGGTGACTCCAGACAGAGGAAAGAGTGATGAACATACACGGACAGTCCTCGGCTTGGAGACGACTCCAGGCTTCTCCTGGGTCACCACATGGTGTTCGCCCTCTCTGTCTGTCTGTGCCTCTCTGTCTTCTGCTCTGCTTACGAGGACACCAGCCACATGGATTCAGGATCCACCCTCATCCATATAACCTCGTATAAATCAATTAGATCTGCAAAGACCCTATTTCCAAATGAGATCACATCACAGGGAGGGGGGCGGGCTCGCCGAGATGGGGCAGCTGGGGAAGTTCTGTCCCAGACGCAGGCTTTAAGCATCTGAACGTTCTGCCCTCTCAGCACCCCCAGCCTCACTGGCCCATCTTCTGGGGATCCCTGCAGACTCCTTGGGGAAGAGCATTTTGTGTAGAGGCACCAGCAGGAATAAATGCACCTCAGTATGAAATCCGTGAACGTGTCCAAGGAAGGGCGTGCCACTGTCCTGGGGCTGCCATAGGAGCGGGCGGGCCAAAGCGACAGGAATCGGCGCCCTCAGTCCTGGAGGCCGGAAGTGAAGTCAGGTGTTGGCAGCAGCGCCCTCTGAGGCCTCGGGAGGATCCGTGCCATCCTCACTCCACTGCCGCTGGACACCTCGCAGTCCTCGGCTTGGAGACGACTCCAGGCTTCTCCTGGGTCACCACATGGTGTTCGCCCTCTCTGTCTGTCTGTGCCTCTCTGTCTTCTACTCTGCCTATGAGGACACCAGCCACATGGATTCAAGATCCACCCTAATCCATATAACCTCATATAAATCAATTAGATCTGCAAAGACCCTATTTCCAAATGAGAT